GTGACTAACCACCTTTTGATTTCCTTTTCGAAAGAACTTGGCAAGGGAATACTGGTCATCCGTGTATTACATGAAACTTCAAGAAGCTGGAGCAAAAGCAAATGGACATGATTTGGAGTTGGCTATGAGCTGGAATGTCACTCCAAGACTCAGCTATGTTCATGCCGCTGATGATCCATTTCACCAAGACAATCTTATGCCATCACAAAGATCGTGATCAAGGTTGGATACTTTCCGTATCTTGAGCCTCACAAATCACAATGATATTGCCGCATCTCCACCAACATGATGATCCAGAAAATCGAAAACTAGAAGAATGGTTGGTAGTATATATCATCCGCTGGATAAAGCAGGTTTGCTGTAATCGCGGTATTTTAAAAGTAAATGATGTGATATAAAGCTCCCCTGAGTTATTGGAAAGGAGTTTCTGCATTTTTCTTATGCAAGACCATGAGGTTAACTTTCTAATTAACGTACATAATTCTCCCGAATGTAAGTTAATATTGTCAATTCTTCTCATTGTATAACTGTGTTCTATATTGCAGGCATGCAACATTTTGTTTATAGCATTGCTTGATTGATGTTATTGCTATACAATTCCAGATTTATAAAGTTTAGTATTCTCTCTTACATTTATCTCTCCCTTTTATCATATTGGTATCGTACTCAGTCTATAAGCAAGGTTTTACTCCTTTTGTAAACCATTTAAGGCCCCGTTCTTTAGAGCTGCTCTGTTCTGCTCTGCTCAAAAGAAATCTGCTCTGTTATCTCTGCTTTATTTTCAAATAATAATTAATAATAACAATAATAATAATTAATATTCCATAATAATAATAATTAATATTGTATTGATGATAATAATTTATTATTTTGAATAATTATAATAATTATTAATATTAAAAATAATTTTAATAATTATAAATATTAAAAATAATTTTAATAATTATTAATAATAATTAATATTTATTAATCATAATAATAATTAATAATAATAGTTATCATTATTAATATTTAATAATATTATTAATTAATAATTTCTAATAATCATAACAATTCTTTCAAAAAAATAAAAAATAATAATAACAATTTCTTTTTATAAATATTTGATATTATAATCACAATTTGTAGAAACAGTTTATGTATGTGGGTATTGATTGTTAGTTCATTGATATATGTTTCTACTATTAACATATGTTAAATTTGGTATACATATATTTATGTTTTCACTCACCTAAATCAATGGTATATGCACTTAATAATAGTAATAGTAATAGTAATAACAATAGTAGTAGTAGTAGTAGTAATAATAATAATAATAATAATAATAATAATAATAATAATAATAGTATTAATAATAATAATAATAACAATAGTATTAATAGTAATAACAAAAACATTGATAATAATAACATTAATATATAATAATAATAATAATAATAATAATAATAATAATAATAATAATAATAATAATAATGGCAACAACATTAATAATAATAACATTAATAATAGTATTAATAATAATAATAATAATAATGACAACAACATTAATAATAATAACATTAATAATAGTATTAATAATAATAATAACATTAATAATAATAATAACATTAATAATAATAATAATATTAATAATAATAACATTAATAATAATAATAATAATAATAATAATAATAATAATAATGATAATAATAACATTAATAATAATAACATTAATAACAACAACAACAACAATAACAACAACAACAACAACAATTATGATGTTTAATAATAATAATAATGTTGAAATCTGCTCAATAACAATAATAATAATGTTTAATAATAATAATAATAATAATAATAATAATAAGCAGTGTCGTAGGAAGATATGCGATGGTCATTACACCGCTGCAGTTCGAGTTCTTTCTTCTTCAGGCGTTGCTCCTTATAATGACGCCACTCTTGCGGATTTACAGTCAAAGCACCCTTCGTCTCCAGCTCCATCCTTGCCTGATATACCTGTTGATCACCTTCATCTCGTTACGACTTCTGCTGTTGTTTTGGATCGGATTAAGAGTTTCCCTCGTGGGACATCATGTGGTAGGGATGGTTTGCGTGCTCAACATCTTATGGATTGCTTGAGTGGTGCAGCTGTGGTAGTCTCAGATGAGTTGGTTGACTCTATTTCCGGGGTGGTTAATCTCTTTCTAGCTGGAAGATGTCCTATGGAATTAGGAGAGTACATTGCTAGTGCTCCTCTTACACCACTTGTCAAGCCCGGTGGTGGTATTCGTCCTATTGCCGTGGGTACGGTTTGGCGACGTCTAGTTTCGAAGGTGGGTGTTGTTATGATTGGTCAGTCTTTAGGGAGTTGATTTGATGGCCTTCAATTTGGTGTTGGAGTTTCTTCAGGTGGGGAGGCTATTCTTCATGCAGTGAATCGGTTGATTGAGGATCGTGGTTCTGATGTAGGTCTTTCTATGTTGTTGGTGGATTTTCAAAACGCCTTCAATTCAATCTAGTTGATCGTTCGGTCATGTTACGTGAGGTACGTCGCTGTTGTCCGGGCATTTCGCGATGGGTTGAATTTTGCTATTCCAATCCAGCCAGATTGTATTATGGGGACCAAACCTTATGGTCGTCTCAAGGGGTGCAGCAGGGTGATCCCCTTGGTCCTTTGCTTTTTTCTTTGGTTTTACAACCCCTAGTGTGTAAAATCAGAGAGACTTTTGATGTATGTCTTCAGGCTTGGTATTTAGATGATGGCACGATTATTGGTGACACGTTGGTGGTGGGGCAAGTTCTGCAACTGATTATGGAGGAAGGACCTTGTTCTGGGTTACGTCTTAACGTGGAAAAGACTGAAGTTTTCTGGCCTACAGAAGACCCTAGAAGCAGGCTTGTGGGTGTCTTTCCACCTAATATTGCTCGACCTTTGCGTGGTGTTAAGTTTCTTAGTGGTCTCGCTAGTTCCGATTCTGGTTTTAGTGGTGAGCTTGTGATGCAGAAAGTGACCAAGACCATTGCCCTTATGGATAAGGTCGCTATGCTGGATGATCCTCAATGTGAGCTGTTGTTACTTAGGGCATGTACCGGAGTTTCTAAACTCTACTTTGCATTACGTACTTGTCCTCCTAGTACTTTTGAGGCGGCTCAGCGCACTTTCGATGGGGCTCTTCGATCTTCTTTGGAGCGTATTGTTACTGCTTCGGGGCCTGGGTTTGGCGATTGGCAGTGGCGGCTTGCCACCTTACCATTTGCGTTTGGAGGGCTTGGTGTTTATTCTGCAGGTGATGTTCGTCACTATGCTTTTCTTGCTTCTCGGTTGCAGTCTACTGATTTGCAAACTCAACTTCTATGACATGCTGACATTGTTTGTCTTGGACGAGCCTTTGAGGACGCGTTGGTTTTGTTTAATGGAATAGTGGAGTCTGACATTTTGAGTAATCCTAGTGAGGTCGCTGCCCTAAAGTCATGAAGAAATTGGCAGATATATATTTCACAAAGGTTACCGCTTCTGCAGAATCTGCTTATTCTTTAACTCCTCGACAATCAGCATTATGGAAATCACAGCAGGGAGATCACACCTCTGCTTGGCTTCGGGCAGTCCATATTGCGGTTTTGGGTCAAACGATGAATGCCAAGACTTATCGTTGTGTGTTGTGCTACCGATTGGGTGTTCCATTGTTTTCTATCCCGACGCCGTGCTCTGCTTGTTCGAGGGTTTTTGCTGGGGATATTTTTGGTGATCATGCGGTGTCTTGTGCTGGTATTGTGGGCATTAAACATCGACATAATGTTGTTCGGGATACCCTTGTTGATGTTTGCTATCGGTCATGGATTTCAGCTAGAAAGGAGGTGGACATTGGGTTATCTGGAGGGAACGACGGGGTCCTCGGACCTGCAGATATGTTACTTTATTCCTGGGATCGTGGTCGCGATGTCTGCGTTGACTTGATAGGGTCTTCTCCTTTGACACGGTCTGGGCTATCTGACTTTGTTCCTGGACGAGTAGTGAATGATGCGGCCAATCGGAAGCGGGTCAAGTACGAATCCAGTTGTCGAGCAATTGGATATGGCTTCCTTCCTTTCTTTTTCTCTTCTCTTGGGGAGTTAGAAAAGGAGGCTATTACATTGTTGAAGCGAATCCAGAAGTTCTCGAAGGCTCAGGACATTGGGGCACGTGCTGCAGCTCATATCTTCACTAGGATAGGATTTGCGATAGCCAGAAGAGTGGGGGTCTAGATTGTATCTCGGCTTCCCACTAATTTTTTATAGGTTAATAATAATAATAACAATAACAATAACAATAACAATAACAATAAAAATAACAATAACAACAAGAAGAACAATAACAATAACAATAATAATAATGTTGATAGTTCAATACTTAATTTACTAGTATTTGATTATTAATATCACGCGAGTGGCTGAATAGTTAAATTAAAAATGCTAATAAAAAGGTAAGTGGAGGAGTATTATATTTACAAACAAAGGGTGTGTGAATATGTACAAGGTCCATTAGAATATTGAGAAAAATTAATACGGTGTATAATATTTGGGGGGGGGGGAATTATGAGATTTCAGGAGATTAAGTTTCTTTGTCTTTAACTTAGGGCATATTCTTATTTATTGAAATAAATTGTTTATGAAAGAAGAAAATTAGGAACTTTATAGAACTGAAATTAAGCCGAAGAGAATAGGTCTTTAGTGCACCAATTTGAGACAACCTAATGAGTATTCTCTGTTTCTTTATACTTCATTTGTTTTTTTATTAGACATGGAAGTTTCAATATAAATGCATCACTTTTTCTTTTAATCAATAAATTCTCTTATATTTCTCTCTACTCCAAACATTGCCTAGGAGTTAGCAATTTCAAAATGAGCATTCAATAAAAATCAGAGGAAGTAGTTGTAACTTGTAAGCAACACCATGTCTGTTACGACTACCCCAAAGAAAATCATAATAGTTAATGGAAGGAGTTCATGTAAATAGAAGAGTACCATCATACATTGATCAAGTCTACTCATAATTAAATGGAGCAATTAATAGAGGACGTTTACTTATTGAAGGGGACATAATTAAATGTATTGTATAGGTACCTAACTTAGCTACTTAATATAAGTAGATTACCTCCATGATTTTTTTTAAGAATGTGTTCTCTTTAACCAACAATAAACCATGCTTCAAGCTTGCAATGACCTCCTTCTAACCCAGCCTCTATGTATTTCCCTTCTTTCATTCTTAGGCATCCTCTCCATTTTCAAACACACATTATGTCTCCTAAAATGGACATACATATCCTTCCTTAGACCCCCAAAAGACCTTAAAAAAACCTATGGTTCATGGGCACTAATCACCGGCTCTTCCGATGGCATCGGAAGAGCCTTTGCCTTTGAGCTCGCGGCTCATGGCCTCAACCTCATCCTTGTTAGTCGTAGTGCAACCAAACTTGAACATGTCGCTTGTGATATCAAACATAAGTTCCCTAACATAAACATCAAAATGGTGGCAATAGATTTTTCAAGGGACATATCATATGTTACAAAAGAGGTTAAGAGTGTTGTTAAAGGGTTAGATGTTGGAGTTTTGGTTAATAATGTGGGAATAACATATCCAAAAGCTATGTATGTTCATGAAATAGATGAAGATACATGGATGAAGATTTTGCGAGTAAATGTTGGATCTATAAATGGAGTTACTAAAGCAATTTTGCCTAATATGTTACAAAAAAGGAAAGGTGCAATTATAAATATTGGTTCTGGTGCGTCTATTGTTGTGCCTTCTCATCCTCTTTATGCCATTTATGCTGCTACTAAAGGGTAAGTACAATTATTAAATTTTATCTACTACCTCCGTTACGTACAGGTTATGTGCAATGATTAGATATTTTTCCTCTCTGCTTTATGTCAAATCGTTGCACATAACCTGTCACGGAGGTAGTAATTGCTTTTGCTCTTAGTTTAGTAATTGCTTTTGCTCTTAGTTTTACGTTTTTCACTGTTTCGTACAGTATATACTTCCTCCATTTTTTTATTTGACCATGTTTGCTAATAAATAATTTTAACCATTAATAATTTTAATTCCGTTTAAATAAAAATTACAAGTTATATTTTATGACAATACTTATTGAAACAATTCTAACAAATTTTCACATAGATATGTATTTCCTAACATATAATTCACAAAAGATAGTCAAAGAAGGGTTGGTAAATACTGAATAGTGTAAAAGTCAAAACGATTCAAGTGAAAAAAAAAAAGATGAAATACTTTCTTCTAACATTATGTTACTTCCTCCGTTTTTAAATACTTATTCCATATCTCCATGCGCGTAGTTTTAAGAGAAATTGGAGAAAGTAGTAAAATATAGAGGTACCGAGGTAGTGGGGTAGATAGAAAAATAAAAAATTGTAAAAAGCAAAAGCAGTGGAGAGAATTAGAGGAGATAGAATACAAAATTAATAAAATATGATTTATGTTGAATCCACTAGAAGCTTTCCAAATAAGAAAATGGAGCAAGTATTTTAAAACGACCGAAAAAAGAAAGTGAAACAGTATTTTAAAATGGAAGAAGTATCATTTACAATAAGGAAATACATAAATACATGATTATCCGAAATACTTCCTCTATTTTTTTTAAGTGCTTCACTTCTCATAAACAACCGTTTTTTTCAAGTGCCCCATTATCAAAATTGGAAACCCCACTCACCTTATATATTATCTCTTTTTTTTTAACCTCACTATCATTTTATAAATTTTTCTCTCTCTCTCATTATTTTTAGTGGTCCCCATTCATATTTCTCTCTATTACTTTTTCAATTTTTTTTATTCTTAATCATATTCACTTATACTATTTTATTCATTTACCTAAATGTGCCAAGGGTATGGGGCACTTAAAAAAACGGAGGGAATAATGCTTTACCATAACTTCTACACACGGAGACACGGAGTATAACTTTTTACTTGTATGTACTCCGTGATTGAGGTGTAAGTGTGTAACAATCAAATGGTTATCTTTGTATGTAAAGAGGTGTAACAGCCAAATAGTGGATTAACATGTGTGTCAAATTAGATTGCGTCAATTATTATAAAACGTTTAAAGTATTATCTATTATTCGTGCTACTTCCTCCGTCTTTAAATTACATTTCTACTTCTAACATTTATTCCTTATATAATAGAAAAAAATAAGAATATAATTTAGAGACAGGTAATAAGTAATAAAGTTAAATAAACTAATATCCTCCCTTGAATTCGAAAAAGGTTAAGAGATACTTGGTACGGATCGGAGTATAAAAGTTGGTTTGTCAGTGGTTACCCATCTATTAGTAATTAAGGATTTAAGATTGAATATATTACCAACATGTTAGTAAAAGAAAATGACAAACGGCATTTGGACAAATTAAAATTGTAGACAAAGAAATGTTAACGCATACACATTTAGTAGCTAGTTAGCCACCTTATTCGTTCCAATGGAATTATATCTAATTATTGCTCCAACTCTCAACCGCCAAATATTATTAAATGAGGATCCATTAAATTGGCCTTACTTCCACAACTGTGGCATGTTTATATGCAACGTGTTTTGGATGCAATCATATATTGAGTTAAGGACTAATTTAAGTTAAGGAGCACCTTTGGAAGCATTAGGTTAGAAAAATAAAAGTGGAAATTTTAAAGTAAAATAAATATGCAGTAATAACTATACCGATTGACCTCGTCAAAAAAAAAAAAAAAAAAAAAAATACCGATTGATATTGACACATAATTATGACATGTAATTTATTTATACGGAGCGTGCATTGTTTTAAGCAATATATTTATGTCATATATATATTTATCATCTCGAGGGTGTTCGTTAGCAAGATCGTTGATGTATACCGACGACATCATTACTGATCCGACTAATCTATCCACATAAAAATAGTTGTAATTAATCCAAATTAAGATTAGAATTATGATTTGTTTAACCTCTAATTAAAGGGGTTGACATTGACAAGTTAGCTGAAATTTAAATTGAATTTGACAAGGTCACATTGCTATTGGAATACTCTGTATAAAATTTATTAAATGTTTTTTCATATAGATTATTATTTATGAGGTGACGTGGGACCAAATTATACGTGTGTAGTTATATTGATCAACTCTCTAGAAGTCTTCATGTGGAGTACAAGAGTCAAGGGGTCGATGTGCAATGCCAGGTACATAAAACAAAGCCTCTTATAGTAAACTTTTAAGTACAAATTAAATGTAGTACATTTATAAAATTACTACCTTAATTTGCATCAAAAATAGAATTATTACCTTAATTAATTACTCCGTAGTACGAGTATTAACTAATTTGTGTTCAAAGTTACCATTGTATGTTGCAACCAAAATGGCCTTTAATGTGGCATCCGTCGAGAGACCAACCTTGTTCATCCCCACGGCTGAGGATTATGCCGTGGCTGCAGTCCGGCGTATCGGGTATGAAGCAAGGTGTACACCCTTTTGGGCACATTCACTTCAATGGTACATGGCTAGTTACCTTCCCAATAGTTGGCTTGATGCATGGCGCCTCTCTATAGGCATTCGGAGGAGATCAGCCTAATTCTATAACAATTCTCATACGTCTACCTCCGTTAAATTTTACGTGCAACTTTGAAATATTTTATATCTTACAAATAATACCACAAAATTGCATGTAAAAATTAACGTAATAGAGGTAGTATTCAAATTCTGTAAAATCATCAAATAAAAAGATAAATTTTGAATATAAATAAATAAATTATAAACGAACGTAATGTTGATTTGTATCCCGTATTAATAATTTTGTACACAATCGATAATAAAGTCACTTTTTTACAATATATGGTACTCGTACGTATCATATCATACATGACAATACAAGTTATCACAAATAGATTTAGGGCCTGATTATTGAGGATCTAGCTAGTAACTCGTGTTTGACTTGTAGCATTCAAAATACACAGGACAACAGACGAGCATAAGAGCCAAAACCCCAGCGATTCCTGTTATCAAAATCCACATGCTAGGTTTCCAATTTATAAGTTGAGTTGCATCTGTTGGATTTTCACGACATGATTCCAGATCACCAATTGTCCTGTCTTTGATATTACGTAGTTGTTCATCGTTGTTTGTCACTTTTAATGTTGCTATAGAGATATCACGTACTAGATCAGCGCGAGACTCTTTTCGAAAAGCCTGCACCAAATTGCATGTACAAGTATAAAATCCATCATTCACATGAATAACTTAGATTAGGGATGGCAACGGGTCGGACTAGGAGCGGATTATGCTAAATCCGACTCCGACCCGACAGGAAGTCGGAGGTTGAATCCGACATCCGACTCCGACATCCGACTTCGACATTCGACTCCGACTCCTATTTCAATATCCGACCTCCGACTCCGACTCCGATCCGACCCGACTCCGAGTTTTTTTTCATTATTCAATATACTTTGAGATGTTAGGCTATTTGGGCCTTTACAACCCACACCCAATGCCACCATGACCCACACAAAAATCCACTATCTATTGGAGTCGGAGTCGAATAATCCGTTAAAGTCGGACATTTGTCGGAGTCGGATTTTTTTCTCGGATTTTTTATAGGATCCGACTCCGACCCTCCTCCGACTCGGAGTCGGATTATTTTAACGGAGTCGAACTCGGATTACTTTTTTCTCGGACTCGAAGCGGATATTTTACCTCGGATCGGAGCGGAGTAGGGTCGGATCCAGACTAGATTGTCATCCCTAACTTAGATATGGTCACGTTTAAATTCATCTTACTCAATTATATTACTCAATCTGTTTTTTAATACTTGTTTCATTTCTCCATGCGCGGAGTTTTAGAAAAATTGAAAAAAATAATAAAATATGGAGGTAGTGGGGTTGGTGGAATAATAAAAAAATTGTAAAAAAAAAGGTAGTGAAGAGAATTGAAGGAGAGAGAATATAGAACGAATTAATATTGTTGGGTCCACTTGGTGAGAGAAATTAATTAAATATTGTAAAAGGTTTCAAATAAGAAAATGGAACATGTATTTAAAAACGGCTAAAAGAAAAGTGGGACAAGTATTTAAAAACGGAGAGAGTACAAAGTACAGATTATTACTTATTTCAAATCAGGGACAATACTATTAATTTCAGATCAACCTTTATGTGTAATTAAAAAAAAAAAACTATTTTTTTTTAGAAAAAGGAGTTAGGATTGAGTCATTACAAAAAAAAAAAAAAAAAAAAATTCAGATTAGATCACATAAGTCAAAATAAGCTAAGGTGAACATTGTTTAAGTTTGAGTGAAAATATCTTATGAAAATGAGCCAAATAAACACGTACTATTATGCTATGTTTGGATAACAAATTAAAAGGGAAATGGAAGGAAAGGAAATAGGAGGAAGGGGAAGGAAGGGAAAGTGGAGAAAATGATGAGCTTCATTTTCCCTCCAAATATCTCCAATTTTAAAGGGATGATCTTTATTAACGCTTTGTTTGGATAGCAAAGAAGGAAGGAAAAGAAGGAAAGGGAAAATGGAGGAAGGGAAGGGAAAAGAAAGGGAGGGGGAGGTGAGCTCTATTTTCCCTCCAATTTTGGAGAGATTATGGTTATTATAGAGAGAGGGAAAATAGATCCCTCCCTCTCCCTCTCCCTCTCCTTCCCCTTCCCCCAATCTTTTACCCAAACAAGAGATTTTGTCTCCTTCCATTTCTCTTCTCTTCTTTTCCTTCCATTTCTTCCTATCCAAACAAAGTGTAAAGGAGGAGGGAAAATGGATCCCTCTCTTTCCCTCCCCAACATATTATCCAAACAAGAAAGTTTGTCTCCCTCGCTTTCCCTTCCCTTCCTTTCCTTCCATTTTTTGTTATCCAAACATAGCCTTACGTAAATAGATCACATCATCACATAGCCTAATTTTAACTCGAAATGATGAATTGACTTGAAATAGCTTGACTACACGAATAACTAATGATAGAGATTAGCTAATAGACTTACGAAGCGAAAACCATCGGCATGCAAAGCTGCTGAAGGCACAAGGGTGTAAACATTGCAACGTTCGGCAACGAAAACCTTAAGATACGGTGTTTCATCAATTGCTGCATCAACACCTCCTCCTTTACTTCCTTTGGAAAGTAGATTTACAAGTTCTTTTTCATTGGAATAGGACTTCAATTGTGATTCCAAAAAGCCTCTTTGAATGAGCATATTACGAACAAAAGATCCCGTTTGATATCCAACACTTCTTCCATTTCTTATGAAATCATTCGTGTTGTAGTTTACAAGGGGAACTTGCCTTGGTGCGACTTGCAAATAGATGATGATTGCACCACAACAAGCTGTTATGATTACCAACATGAGGAAGCATAGCACAATCACTAGCCTCGTACGTCTTGAAGTTGTTTCCCCTACACAAAAAGATTAGGTATGTTATTATTTAAGGATCATGAACGCGAGTGCAAAATTGCTTTTGTATTGGTCATCGATTGAACAATAGCACATAACCCAAGCCTATAAAATTGATTGAACGTTAGTTATAAAACAGTTAGTGTGGGCATATATTGGTTGACTTCAGCCTCCCAAGTTTGAATTTTATCTCTTAATTTTTACCTGATACATTATTTATTTATTTATTTTTACGTGATACACATGCCATATAACGTTAGTTATAAAATAGTTAGTTATACGTTATATGGCATGTGTGTTTAGTAGCCATATGAAACATATAATGATGTACTACTCGTTCCTTTTTGTTGGTTACGCTAATATAAAAAAGGACGGATTGGAGTCCTCGCTCTCTAAAACTAGAGTGATGAGTTTTTATTCATTACCAGAATCTGTGCCTTGACAACGCACATAAAACCAGAATGTTAAAATAGACGCAGAAAAGCCGCAAACAGCCACAGTTGCGGCTATAATACCAGAAGGAAGACGCGTAAGAAATGAGGGCTTTCTATTTCCTGCCACGAGACGTAAGGGTACTAGCATCGACACTCCGGTTTCTGAGAATGGCATGCTAAAATCAACCCATTCAGTCCTGTAATACCTTATAGAAATGTCACCTACCGCTGCATCATACTCCTGCTTTCCAAATTAATTAAACCAATATCATTAGCAATTGGAATTTCATTACTCAAGGAGAAATTGTTATTTAACTATGAGTAAATTAGAGCAACTCCAATGATTGTAATTAGTGTCTTTGAGCATGTGCAGAGTGGTTGATTATTTCACATACAAGTCCCCCTAAGTGAAAGGGTCTCAAATTTCGATAATATATAAGCTATACAAAGGTTTTTTTCCCCACTATATGTACAATGAATCAATGATCTTAGGGTCTGTTCTCTTACGTTATGATTCAGTTCAGTTCAGCTCAGTTTAGCTCAGTTCAGCTCAGTTCAGTTCAGTTCAGCTCAGCTCAGTTCAGTTCAGTTCAGTTCAGTTCAGCTCAATTCAGTTCAGTTCAGTTCAGCTCATCTCCTAATTTCCTTCTCTTATAAAATATTTAGTTCAGTTCAGTTCAGTTCAGCTCAATTCAGTTCAGTTCAGTTCAGTTCAGTTCAGTTTAGCTCAGCTGAGTTCAGTCAATGAGAACATGCCCTTAGTCATTTAATGGTGCAATTTTTAAAAAATGAAGGATGTATAGTTTATTAGTCATCTAATGTATGTATTTCTTATTTTTTTTTGGCTTTTAATTTGACACTATATATTTTTACTCTATTTTGACCATAATCATTTGCTATAGACTTGGTTATCGGCAACGACTATAGGGTTTGAGTCAAAGTTAAAGGACTAAATTGGGTGGGACCCTTATTAAGTATGGTCAATATATTCTGAATTTTTGTCAATTTGACACATGAAGTTAACCAAAAAAAAAAGGTTGGACCAAAATTAATTAAATTAATTTTCAGAGATCGAGTCGATTAATGTGGTCTGGTCTTGTCATGTCAATTTATTCGATTGGGGCCGGTTTTTGTACAACTCTGAAAAAAAAAAAAAAAAAACTACATGGATATCTTTGTATTCAAATACTTTAGCATTGGCTTTTTCCTTTATTATTTTCCTTTATCGTTTGTTGGTCATCCATTTTTGATCTGTTATGGACTTGAGACCTACATTGGCCCAATCCTCTTTAACCTAATAAAATGCGACCCTCTTTTGACTAGACTCATTAATTCATTATCAATCTACAATGACCCTAAACCACCCCCCCAAACCCATGATCACCGGGTTTATTTGCTGCGCTATGATAAAATACATAATTATGTTGAATCTAATTATTGGATTAATCTCAATATATGTTATATTTTAAACAAGAAAAAATTAGTAATAAAATATAACAATTACACAAGTAAAGATGTTAGATGTCAATCATATTTATAAAATATATATATTGAATTATTGTTACATTTGTGTTGCAAACTTTGACTTTTTAAGTAAGACAATAAGGTCAATGATTAGGGTTGTTGGAAATAAAGAAAGGAAATTCAAAGGGTCAGATATAAGAGCCCGATCGGGCAGGCATCGCCCGATCGGGCGCGAGAAGAGTCGTAAAATTCTGGAGCTCCGTTGCCAGATCGGGCGACTCCTCCCGATCGGGCGACTCCTCCCGATCGGGCGCGAGAAGAGTCGTAAAATTCTGGAGCTCCGTTGCCAGATCGGGCGACTCCGCCCGATCGGGCGCGAGAAGAGTCGTAAAATTTTGGAGTTCCGCCGCCCGATCGGGCGCGAGAAGACGTCTGGAAAAAAAGAGTGTCCGCCCGATCGGGCGCGTGTTTGTCCGTTGAACTCTAACGGATCCCTTGGATTCCTCTTCTAGTTTGATTTCTTATAACCCCCCATTTAAGAGGTTTATTATGGTGTTTTAACCACCATAATAATTCTGATTTCATTTTTCTTGTTCAAGAATATTCTCTCTATCTTTTCATCTACCTCAATCTCTATTATAAATTAGAGAATAATTTTCTGATTTCATACACTTGAAAATACATTCAAACACAATAGCTTAAACACATCTCTCTTTGGGCATAAGATACTTGACTCCAACCTTCCACCCAAAAGTGTCTTTGTGTGGAAGAGGTGTGTTAACCTTAGGGAACGTGCCGGCGAATACAATTGAGCACCGTGGTTGCGCCGGAATTTCGTTTTCAAGTCAGTGATTTGCATCACGACACACCATTTGTTCCTTTGTTTTGTAAGATCAATTTTTCGGTCTTACTTGTTATTTCTTTATACTATTACTATAGATTTCTTCTATATTTACAACAATTTGAAAACGAAATTATGTCTATTGGTAATAGTATTATGAAGTCTCTTCCCGACCTCTCTAAGTTGGAACCTCTCGATGGTAACAACTACAAGAGGTGGTCACAAAAGCTACTAATCTTTTTTGAACAAGTGGAAATATATTATGTTTTGAATGAAGATGTCATTGAAGTTTTGGAGAAGGCGGAGGAAGCGGCTAAGATTGCAACGGATCCCATTCCGACGGCCATCACCGATGCCTTGAAGAAGAAGGAGAAAGGCAACAAGCTTGTTCGTGGACATCTCCTCAATCATATGAACAATACTTTGTTTGATTTGTTTGTCAATTTCAAGTCAAGAAAGGTTATTTGGGGCGCTTTGGAGAAAAAATATGGAGCGGATGATGCCGGGAAAAAGAAGTACGAGGTGGGCAAGTGGCTCAATTTCAAGCTGGATGATGAGAAGCCTAACATGTCTCAAGTCCATGAGTATGAGAACATGGTGACTGAAATTCTTGGTGAAGGCATGAAGATATGTGAGACCCTTCAAGCTAATTTTCTCTTGGAGAAATTCCCTCCCTCTTGGAATGACTACCGTAACTCTTTGAAGCACAAGAAGAAGGACATGACCTGCAAGAGCTCATTAGTCACATGAGAACCGAAGAGGCTAATCGCCTTAAGGATAAGTTTGAGAATTTGTCTCTTAATTCTTCTAAAGATAATCTTGTTGAGTCTTCTTTGAATGTGTCTAAAAACAGGAACAATTCTAAGAAGAAGGGAAACAACAAGTCCAAAAACAATCTCACTCCAAACAACAAAATCCAAAAGCCAAAGGGTGCTTGCTATGTGTGCGGGATTGTTGGACACAAAGCATACCAATGCAACCGGAGGCATGGTGCAAATAAATATGGAAACACCTCCCAAGCCAATGTGGTGGAAAAAGAAGAAATCATTGCGGCGGTGGTGGTTGAAGCCAACTTGGTGGAGAACAAAGTGGAGTGGATTTTGGACACCGGAGCATCTAGGCACTTTTGTGCAAATAAGGCCTTGATGACCGAGTTTGAAGATGTTACCGATGGTGATCATGTCTACATGGGGAATAGTAGCACCGCGGGAGTCCTTGGCAAAGGAAAGGTCCATATCAAACTCACCTTCGGAAAAACTTTATTTTTAAATAATGTGTTGTATGTTCCTTTTCTTAGGAGAAATCTTGTTTCGGGATCCCTTCTCAACAAAGCCGGCCTAAAACTTGTCTTTGAGGCCGAAAGATTGTAATGACTAAGAATGGAGACTTTGTTGGGAAAGGTTACCTCAATAATGGTTTTTTTTTTTTTAATGTTATGAATGAGAATGGAAGTATTTCTTTTGCTTATATTGTTGAGTCTTTGGATGTTTGGCACAACCGTTTGGGACACTTGAATTCCTCTTATTTGAAAAAGTTAAAGGACATGAATTTAATTAATTTTTCAATGGATGATAAACTTGACAAATGCCATATTTGTGTTGAGGCCAAACATACTAAGAAACCATTTAAGCAAGTGGTCTCAAGAAGTACCAAATTATTATTATATTACTTTTGTTGATGACTTTTCTCGTTATTATATTACTAGTAGGGGTGGTAAAAATTATTACATTACTTCTGTTGATGACTTTTCTCGTTATACCAAAGTTTATTTGCTTAAAACTAAAGATGAAGCCGAAAGTGCATTTTTAAAGTACAAAGCCGAAGTTGAAAATCAATTGGACCTTAAAATCAAAAGAGTTAGAACCAAGAGGTGGTGAATATGGAAAAGATTCTTTAAAAGATTTTTGTGAAGCCAATGGCATCATACATGAAACTAGTCCACCTTACACACCCCAATCAAATGACATTGCCGAAAGGAAAAACAAACCTTTAAAAGATACTATGAATGCCATGCTTCTTAGTTCCGGTTTATCCGATAACTTGTGGGGAGAAGCGGTTCTTTCCGCTTGTTATGTACTCAATAGAGTGCCCCATAAGAAATTGGATAAAACCCCCTATGAACTTTGGAAGGGATATAGTCCAAATTTTAGTATTTTAAAAGTATGGGGGTGTTTGGCTAAGGTGGCTTTACCGGACTTTAAAAAATCCACTATCGGGTCTAAAACTTTTGATTGTGTGTTCATTGGATATGCTCATAATAGTGCAGCCTATAGGTTCATGTTATTAAGTGATAGAACAATTTGTGAAGCTAGAGATGCGGTATTTTTTTAGCACATTTTTCCTATGAACAAATCTTTGTCTTCTAACGTAGACATGCATGCTAGTAAGTCAAGTATGAATGTGCATTTAGTTGATTCTATGCCTAGTTCTAATCTCCCTTCTTCCTCTACCAAAGTGGTAGTAGTTGAACCTAGGAGAAGTAAGAGACCTAGAGTAGAGACTTCCTTTGGACCGGATTTCTTGACTTCCTTTCTTGTAGAAGACTTTGACGTGGATTCTTTAAGTGAGCATGTTGTGTCTTTGTTTCTTTTAGAAGAAGACCTAAGACTTATGACGAGGCAATGAGGTCCATAGATGCTAGTTTTTTGAAAGAGGCCATTAAGAGTGAACTAGATTCTATCATGTCCAATCACACTTGGGATCTTTGTGACTTGCCTAAGGGTTCTAAGCCTATAAGTTGTAAGTGGATTTTCAAGAAGAAACTTAGACCGGATGGGACCATAGATAAGTTCAAGGCTAGACTTGTCATTAGAGGTTTCACCTAAAAAGAAGGTATAGATTTCTTTGACACCTATTCCTCCGTGACTAAGATAGCCACCATTAGAACCTTGGTAGCCCTTGCGGCAATTCATGACTTAGTGGTTCACCAAATGGATGTCAAAACGGCTTTTCTTAATGGAGACCTTGATGAAGAAATCTATATGACCCAACCGGAAGGTTTTGTGGTGAAGGGACAAGAACATAAAGTGTGTAGGCTAAGAAAGTCTCTCTATGGTCTTAAGCAAGCTCCTAAGCAATGGTTTGAAAAGTTTGATAATACCCTTAGGAGTTGTGGTTATGTGTCTAATTCCTCGGATTCTTGTTTGTATTCTAAGGACTTTGGATCATCATGTGTTATAATCTGTTTATATGTTGATGATATGCTTATTGTTAGTACTAATCTTGATGTTGTGAATGATGCTAAGGGTTTACTTTCCACTAAGTTTGAAATGAAGGATATGGGAGAAGCCGATGTTATTCTTGGAATTCGTTTAAGGAAGACTAAGAATGGTTTTTCCATGAGTCAATCTCACTATGTGGAAAAAATACTCAAGAAGTTTGATTCTTTTGATGTTGCTCCTAGCACTACTCCATATGATCCCAACTTAAAGCTTGAAAAAAACAAGGGTACAAGTGTAACTCAAGAGCTCTATGCAAAGGTAATTGGTAGTGTGATGTTTCTAATGAATTTCACACGACCCGATATTGCTTATGCGGTAAGTAGACTTAGTAGATATACTCACAATCCAAGTCAATATCATTGGATTGCACTTCGTCGGTTATTAAGGTATCTCAAAGGTACTATGGATGTATGTTTACATTTTAATCGCTTTCCAAATGTTTTGGAAGTCTATTGTGATGCTAATTGGGTAACCGATAATGATGAAATTTCTTCTACTAGTGGTTATGTTTTTATTTTAGGTGGAGGTGCTATTTCATGGAAGTCTTCAAAACAACCATGTCTAGCTCGCTCCATCATGGAATCTGAACTTATTGCTCTTGAGTTGGCAGGTCATGAAGCGGAATGGCTTAGGAACCTCCTAGCCGACATTCCATTATGGGGGAAGAGTTCATCACCGGTGTCTATACCTTGTGATTCTCAAGCGGCAATTGGAGTGGCAAACAATAAAAACTACAATGGTAAAAAGAGACATATTCGTATGAGACACAAAGTGTTGAGGCAATTTCTCAAAAATGGAGTGATTGCTTTGGACTATGTGAGGTCCGAAAAGAACTTGGCGGATCCTTTGACGAAAGGATTTGCAAGAAAGCAAGTTGATGAATCATCGAGGGAATTGGACTTAAGCCATATGATACATTACATTTGTCCTAATTCCTATGGTGATGTTGTTGGTAATGTTTGGTTGTGTTTGTGAGGTTGAGTTATTTAACTCTTAATGGATCCTTGTGCTATTGAGACGCACACTAAAGGACTCACCTATGTGGTAGTGAAGACTAGCCATCTTCTATGAAAACTTTGGCCGGTTTCTAGAGCCTCCACTAGAGCTAAGGTGAATGTGCTTGGCTATAAATAAGTACATCTCTTCGCGGAGTTCAAGTATATTTTGGAGTGACGTATGTGATGTGGGGGTCTTGGATTAAATCTTAGAGTTTCAAGGTCCGTCCACTCTTTGATCAAGGGTGTAAGGGTTTCAAGGTTTTTCCACCCTTATACTTGTAATTCATTGCCTCATCTCACTAAACACTAGATTTCAAATTACTTATGTAAATATCTAAGTGTTATGTATTGATCTCCTCTTATGCCCAATATGTTGCTTATCCACATCTTTTGTTGGCTTTTCTTCCCTTCCTTTAGTGGGGGATTGTTGGAAATAAAGAAAGGAAATTCAAAGGGTCAGATATAGGAGCCCGATCGGGCGCGATAAGAGTCGTAAAATTCTGGAGCTCCGTTTCCAGATCGGGCTAGCTCCGCCCGATTGGGCGCCCGACCGAGCGCGAGAAGAGTCGTAAAATTCTGGAGTTCCTCCGCCCTATCGGGCAAGCTCTGCCTGATCGGGCGCCCGACGAGCCCCACCCGATCGAGCGCGAGAAGACGTCTGGAAAAAAAGAGTGTCCGCCCGATCGGGCGAGCTCTGCCCGATCGGGCGCGTGTTTGTCCGTTGAACTCCAACGGATCCCTTGGATTCCTCTTCTAGTTTGATTTCTTATAACCCCCCATTTAAGAGGTTTATTATGGTGTTTTAACCACCATAATAATTCTGATTTCATTTTTCTTATTCAAGAATATTCTCTCTATCTTTTCATCTACCTCAATCTCTATTATAAATTAGAGAATAATTTTCTGATTTCATACACTTGAAAATACATTCAAACACAATAGCTTAAACACATCTCTCTTTGGGCATAAGATACTTGACTCCAACCTTCCACCCAAAAGTGCCTTTGTGTGGAAGAGGTGTGTTAACCTTAGGGAACGTGCCGGCGAATACAATTGAGCACCGTGGTTGCGCCGGAATTTCGTTTTCAAGTCAGTGATTTGCATCACGACACACCATTTGTTCCTTTGTTTTGTAAGATCAATTTTTCGGTCTTACTTGTTATTTCTTTATATTATTACTATATATTTCTTCTATATTTACAACAAGGGTGGGGGAGAAGACTTACCCCTGAAGAAATAGCTCAGAGCATATCATCATAGGTGTCATTCATGGAACCATTAGGCATAGCAAACGGGATGAAATCGAACGAAACGTTGTAAGGCATGGCGGAATTTATGACATTCTTGAAAATGTCGATTGTATAACCTTTAAAGATGTACTCTCCGGTGGTTGGATCACGCTTGACATCGGCTAACTCAGTGAAGCCATTCTTAACCGGCACCGCGATCCTTAACCTAGTGCTGTTTGTTGTTTGGTTACTATTCCCTTGTTGAGCCATTATTGCTATGTTATCCATGCTTATAACCATAAGAATGATTAAGGCTAATATGTTACATGATAATATAAGCTTTGAAAAATATGATGATGAGTTACTAGTTTTCATCATCATATTTTTCTTAGATTTTTTTTGTTGAAGATGAAAACCTTAAATTAGCTAATAAATTTTTTTGGGGCTTTTAAGGTTGATTAAAGTTTGAATATTGCTATTTAAAAAAAAAAAAAAAAAGTTTGACTATTGCTACACTTGATTTATTAAATTTTATGATCATTAGATATTAGGATTTTTTTTTTTTTGGGTTAATCAATATGTTTTCAGTGTGGCCGACTGACGTAAACCAAAACATTAATCGTGAAACCCCGATTATACGGTGTGGTCAACCATATAAAAAAATTTGTGATGTTGATTATTTACAACAAAGAGAGGATGGAATAATTTTAAAATTCTGTAAGGCCAGTCAAAATTTAAGAAAATGAATTGTGTTATATCGTTACACCTTTGCGAAGTCTAAACAAGATAGTTGATCTTGAATAGACGAATAGTTCACCTCATTTAAATTAGCTGGTCATTGATCGATTCTTGATGATAGGACTACGTAGAAAGCATGTAAATGATCTCAATATTTCTGCCTTATCTTCGAAAGTCAGTTCAATATACAAGTCGTCACTAGTTAGTGTATAATATATCAAGAATTTAAAATCGTGCTCATCATTCTAACTTGACAGATCCGGTTTATTGATATTTATTAGTATATACTCCGTCTTTTTAATTAGTGCAAACGGTTTGATCATGTCCATTAGCTAATTAGTGTATAATAATATCTGTAGTATATTACTATGTGTATGTCTACTATCTAGATAATTATGTTTCACTAGATTGTATCCTTGCTAGCGCACGGTATATAAGATGTGAAAGTTTGTCATGAATCAATCTTCCTTAGTTTGTATTTCTGTATCACAAGGTATATATATACAACCTAAAATATATTCGGGCTCAAATCGAGGCCCAAACGCTAATTACATTAGTAAGGCTTTACACCCCCCCTCAAGTTGGAGCATGCAAATCACAAATGCCCAACTTGTCAAGTAAATACAAAAATTGGTGTTTGCTCAACGCCTTAGTGAAAATATCCGCTAGTTGATCCGTTGTCTTCACATACGATGGACTAATAATCCCCTCCTGAATTGCATCCCGAACATAATGACAGTCAATCTCAATATGCTTAGTGCGTTCATGAAAGACCAGATTTTGCGCAATATATAACGCAGATTTACTATCACAAAAGAGGCTCATCGCCCGCGGATGCAAAACTCCCAAACTTTCAAGCAGTGCCTTCAGCCATTTTAACTCATCAGTGGCTTTAGACATCGAACGATACTCAGACTCTGCAGAAGATTTAGCAACGGTATCCTGCTTCTTAGTCTTCCAAGAAATAGGTGAATTACCAAGAAACACCAACCAACCAGTAATGGAACGTCTCGTCAAAGGACAACTAGCCCAATCCGCATCATACCAACCTGTCACATGTAAATCGTAATCGGAACTCAATAGAATCCCTTGCCCCGGACAACCCTTCAAGTAGCGCACCGTACGAAGGGTTGCCTCCCAATGATCCTGACGAGGTTGCTGCATAAATTGGGATAGGATATGAATTGTGTACGCCTGCTCAGGTCTAGTGAATGACAAATAGATCAGACGACCCACAAGACGCCGATACATTTCGGGGTCTGTAATAGGAGGTGTCTCTGATTTTGCCAGAGTGTGGTTTTGCTCGATAAGGGTACCTGCTGGACGTGCCCCTAATAAACCAGACTCTGCAATAATATCAAGAGTATATTTTTGTTGGCATAGGACTCCGGGCAACCTCAGCACCAAGAAAGTACTTCAAAACACCCAAATCTTTCATATGAAATCATGTACTAAGATATGACTTGAATTTTGAAATTGCAGTAGTATCATTCCCCGAAATTATTAAATAATCAACATACACAAGCACACTAAGATGAATGGCTCCATGGTTCAGAGTAAATAGAGAGTAATCAGAGTACGACTGAAGAAAACCGTACCTCTTTAGAGAACCATCCAACTTAGAGAACCAACAACGAGGAGCTTGCCGAAGGCCGTACAATGACTTCTTAAGGCGGCACACCATGTCGGGTTGGGTGCCATGAAAACTAGGTGGCGGTTTCATATATACTTCTTCATCAAGATCGCCGTGTAGAAAAGAATTATGGACATCCATTTGGTGCAATTCCCAATTTTTTGCAGCAGCAACAACAAGAATAGCACGAACAATGACCATTTTAGCAACAGGGGAAAATGTCTCATTATAGTCAATACCCTCAACCTGATGATTGCCAAATATAACAAGGCGAGCTTTAAGTCGTTCCACTGTCCCATCAGAATTATTCTTCACCTTGTAGACCCATCGGCAACCAAGAGCCTTCTTCCCGGGAGGTAATGCTACCATTGCCCAAATTTCATTATCCTCCAATGTTGAGATTTCTTGGTGCATAGCCTCTCTCCACCCCTCAAGCTTCATCGCCTCTTTGAAGTTACGAGGCTCAACCGCCATATCTACAACTGCAACAAATACACGGTGTCGCATAGAAAATTTGTCACAATTCACAAAATGTGCTAAAGGATAGGGAGTACCTGAGGAGCTTGGAGGAGATGAACTTGTGGAAGGACTCGTAGCTTGAACAGTATGTGCAACATAATCTTTATGCCAAACCGGCGGACGACGAACCCTATTACCACGATCAAGGTCAACAATCGGTGTGCCACCCCCTAAATTACCTGCGACAGCCTCACCACCACTTGCATCGGAGCTGCCAGCAGCAGCAGTGCGTGGCGAGGTGCTTCCAGCCCCACCGCCACTCGGACTAGAACTGCCAGCAAGTGCAGTGAGTGGCAGGAGGCTACCAGAGGCAGCAGTAGGCACACGAGCAGGAGCAGCAGACCCCGTCGCGACCTGGTTGTGGATGCCAGTGTTTGTCGCGGGGTGGCTGCGGTCCCCACTGCCCGTAGAAGTTGCAGCAGCCCCTGTGTCAATGTCAGAGGCAGCATCACTATTAGCATTTTGAGAATTCTCATAAGTAACCTCAACCACCTAAGTCATCCAAAAAATCGTGATCAACCCCCACACTATGCTCATGCAAGGCACGCACTTCCTCATTATTTTCCGAGTCCACAACAGAATTTGTAACACTAGCAAACGGGAATTCATGTTCAAAAAATTTCACATCACGTGACACAAAAATCTCACCGGTTTCTATCTCATACAATTTCCAATCTTTTTTCCATGTGGATATCCCATAAATACGCACTTCTTACTCCTAGGAGCAAACTTATCCCCTTTAGCTTTTTGGTTATGAGCATATCATAAACAACCAAAGAAACGTAATTCCTTATAACTAGGTTCTTGACCAAATAAAACCTCATACGGTGTCTTGTCATGCAACAAACGAGAGGGAGTGCGATCAATCAAATACACCGCCCCAAGAATACACTCACCCTAGCTAAAAAACAATAGGTAAATTCCCTTGAAACATCAAAGCACGCCCCACATTCAAAATGTGTTGATGTTTGCGCTCAACACGACCATTTTGTTGAGGTGTCCCAACATAAGAAGTTTGAAATATAATGCCATTTTGATTAAAGTAAGGAATCATGCATTTGAATTCCGTACCATTATCACTTCGAACCATTTTAACAGACACCTCAAATTGACGTTCAATCATAGCAAAAAAGGAATAGAATGCAGAATGAACTTCAGTTTTATTATTTAACAAATATACCCAAACACCACGAGAATAATTATCAACTAATTTCAAGAAATAATGTGCACCACATGTAGAAGGAGTTTTGTACGACCCCCACAAATCACAGTTAATTAATTCAAAAATACGACTAGCTTTGCTATCACTAGTAGGAAAACTATCCCTAGATTGTTTAGCCTGAGGACATACATCACAAGCCTTATTCAATAATTTCCTAGCAGAACTATTTCGAACAGCAGGAACTAACTTGACTACTCGATCAGAAGGATGCCCAAGTCGCCTATGCCAGAGCTCAAAATCTGTCATCCCAGAAGTTTGCACCGCACATGCTGTTGGAATCCGTCGAAAAAAGTAGAGTCCTTACCGTCGTTCACCGGCTCCAATCAGGGTCCCCGAATGTTGGTCCTGTATAACACATAAAGTATTAGTGAATCGTACAAAACATTGGGAATCGTCAATTAATTTAGACACCAATATAAGATTGCATTGTAAATTAGGAACAAATAAAACATGTTCCAAGATCAAGTGAGTAGACAAAATCACACGGCCCTCCTTCAAAGCAACGGCCTGATCACCATTAGGGAGACCCACGGGACATGGTGAGATCAAACACACATCCACCAAACAAGATTTGTTGCCCGTGACATGATGAGACGCACCCGTATCTATAATCCAAGTGGACAAAGACTCACCTAGCAAGCGATCTTGTTTCTGATTATTTGCCATATTCAAAAGAACCCGAACGTCCTCGGGTTTAAGGTCATCCAAGGACACATTATCACCTCCCCCTGTCACGGTCTCTAATGCAGAAACAGAGCCACTCACGGCATTGGCTTGAGCTGGAGGAGCTTTGCTAGCAGCCCGATCTGTCGAAGATCGATACAAGGGCAGATTTGGGAGTGGTGCGAGAAGAACCAGTAGCCCCCTTTCCAGATCCACGCCGCAGCTCAAACCACCACTCAGGGTACCCGTTTAGCGCAAAGCATCCCTCATTATCATGTCCCTTTTTTCTGGCAGTGAGAGCAATATAGCTTTGCCTTGTCTTGACGATCCGAAGCCCCTTTCCAACGAGCAGAGGAAACGAAAAAAGCATGAGCACTCTCCTTCGTCCGATCCAATTCAGCCTTTCCACGACCAATACCACGAGATTCCTCCTCTTGAAGGAGAGTTTGATATGCCCTATTCAAGTCAGCAGCCGGTTGTTGCGAGAGTAAATTGGTATGAACAACAGTGTATAAGGTATCATCGATACCGATCAAGAATTGGTGAAACACCTCCTCTTCTCTGTCAGTTGCATACTTCCCTGCCACATCACAGGTACACAACCCACACTCACAGCCATGAGGCGGTTTGAGTCTCGTGAGATCGTCAAACAACCCAATCAATTTAGTATAGTATTCCTCAATCGACATACTAGAAAGTTGCTTGCAATCAGTGATCTTTGCGCACAATTGCTGAATACGTAGTCCATTAGAAACACAAAATCGGTGTTCCAAGTAATCCCAAAGTCGCTTTGCCTCCTCAAAGTACGGGATAGACGCAACTAGTATAAGGTCCGTAGTCCGCAAAATCCATGAGACTAACATCGAGTTAACAGTTTCCAAGTCGAGTAATTTCTTCTTCGTTGGTTTCGTTATTGTGCCATTGATGAACACAAATTTTCGGCGAGATTTCAAGGACAAAGTTATCGCCCTAGACCACGCTAGATAGTTATCCCCCTTCAAGATTACGTGAGTAATCGTATTTCCAGGTTGATCATCCGAACCCAAGTAGTACGGAGATGACGGATCAAGTTTCCCATCTTCCATTGCTAGAGAAGCGTACAGAGGAGAGGAAAAAAAAACCAATAAGACCAATAAGAGATTTGAGTGTGGTTTTGCTCTTTTGGATATGAGTTTGGTTTTACTCTGAAAGACCAATAAGATATTTGAGTGTGGTTTACTCTGAAAAAACAAGATTTGAGTGTGGTTTACTCTGAAAAACCAATAAAAGATTTGAGTGTAGTTTACTCTGAAAAACCAATAAAAAATTTGAGTGTGGTTTACTCTGAAAAACCAATATTTGATTGGAGCTCGGTTTTGCTCTGGAAAAACCAAAAGTTGTTATATTTGCAGGTTCGAAAAGAATGACGTTCCTGTTTGATTGATGACTGATGATTTCGAAAAGATGAACGTTCTCATCGTTGAAAAAGAAGAAACAAAAATTGAAGGCGACATCACAAGAATGTGCATCTCGGCTTCGAACAAATTGATGAATTTCCAATCGCATCGTTCGTGTTACTGTCGTTACGATTGCGGGAGGGTGTTAGAGATATGTGTTATCGGAAAATATATGTGTGATATATTTTCCGTAGATATCATTAAAGGAATAATATATTTAGGTTTATTTTATGTTAAGATATGATTTAGTGAATATATCATTAGGATATATGGTATATCTTTTGGGAAGATTGTTTCCTATCTTATGAGCATAGGTTTTGTATAAATACTCAACCTATTGATGAATAATAATCAAGCAATACAAAAGCCATTCTATTCTATTTTCTCTCTAATTTATCAAAGTTATTTAAAAAAATGAAGATTAGAAGAGGAAGTTATTTAATTAGAGGTCAACCAAAAAAACATGAAAAAAAAACCTTAAATGCATGATATTTGAGAATTGGCGTTTTGAAGGATTGTGGTTACACTACAATAAAAAGGGTAATTAGCGACGGCCAAAGTAGTCGCAAATCCGTCGCAAAAATGGATTTGCGACGGATTTGCGACTACTTTGGTTCGTTGCCAAAGACCTCGTCGCAAAAATTTGCGACTAATTTTTGCACAGTCGCAAATTTAGCGACGGATTTGCAACGCCTTTGCAACTACCATTTAGCGACTAACTTTCAAATTTTAGCAACTAAATTATTGTCCGTCGTAAAATATTTGCGACGAATTAGCAACTACTTAGACCAATGTTGTAAGACTACTTTTGCGACGGATTAGCGACTACAAGACCAAACTTTTGCGATTACGGAGACTAGTTTAATTGCGTTGGTTTTGCGACTACTGAGACTAATGTTTTTTGCGACTACAAACTAATTATTTGTGACAGATTTGCGACTACTGAGACTAATGATTTTGCAACTAACCAATCAGTCTCTAAACCAAATTTGCAGTCGCTAAATATTTGCGACTGACGATCAATATTTGAGACCATAATTTAGCGACAACCAATATCAATCACAAAAAAAAAGGTACCCACGCATAAATTCTAATAACCAAAATGTTAATTTTATTCAAATAAATATCCAAAATATCAATCAATTTTGTATCAATGTATTAAAAAACAATATTTAACTCATAAGACTAATTGTTCCAAAAGTCACCTCCCATATAAAAAAAAGCTACTTCAAACAAGAATTAATGACAATGTAAAAGACCAGTTGTTCATAAAATTACCACCAAGAAAATAAAAATCACTTAGTTGTATCACGAGAGCGGGTGACTGCAGGCGTAGGAGGCTTATAAGGACGGTAAACTTGTTTTACAAGTGATGCCATTTCCTGCAATGTTTTTTGCATAGCTAATTTTTCCTTCTTCCATGTAGCTTTTTCGATCTCATGATTTTCGACGAATTCCTTAGCACATTTTAAGCTCTCTGCCGCTATTTTTTGGCTTCCTTCTACCTTGTTATGGTTTTCTTCCGCCATCTTCTTTAGTTCGTCAACTTGAGAACTTAATTGAGAAATCATGGAAGGAGTGGAAGATGATGCAGTAGATTGAGAAGTAGGATCACTCTTGTAATACATTTGTGAAGCACTCCCTAAACCGTAGACTTTTCCTTTCTTTTGCCCACCTACAACCTCCAAATAGACTTTGTCGGGGTTTATCTCAATTCCTTTGTTCTTATATTCCTCAAGTTTTTCCATATATTCTCCCTGCATTAAGATATGTATTAGTAACTATGATCTCAAATGTTAAAACTTAGAAAGACTAAAAACATCAAAAAAAAAAAAAAAGAAGTTAAAATAAAAAATGCAACACTTATGGCAAAATAATTTATGTAAGCAATTATTAGTAAAAATTTCGGCAGAGTCTCCTTTGTAAATTGAAGAATCCCCTTCTATAGGGTATGGCTTCAAAATAAACCTGTCTCAATTCACATTGTGCCATACCGCATTAATCATATGATTAATGCCGGCAAATCATTCTCATCCTCCAACTCAATCACACAAACAAATAAAAAATCTATAGTATCTCCAAACATTAACTACCATATATTTTTTTTTTTGTAATCTTAGCAAAATATAGAAGTATACTCATACCATGACTTTTTGAGACTTGTCACCCATCAATTCAACTTCATCATTGCCCACACAAACAGAATGAGTGCTCTCATAAACTTCAGCAGCAGTTGGTAAAATTCCATCCTTTTTCTTTGCCTTGTATTAGAAGAAGTTAGCACTAAAAAAAATACAACAAAATTTTCTACTTGCTTCAATCTTATATAAAATCATAAGTTTGCTGCTAAAATCATACACTTACCATTTTTTTAACCACTTGAGGAGTAGATATGCTACCTTGGCGATGGCCAGGGTCAAACTTCTCTAATGTTTGGCCAGATAACCGATTATCTCTTGCTTGGTTAGAACGTTTCAGAAAATCAGGATGCTTACGCTTATTTATGAATTCAGCTCGAACAGTGTCAGTCATGAAACTAACTTCCTTATGGAGAGGCATTTTGTAAACTTGGTTCAATGTGCCCCCAAGTCGGTCCCCAGCTTTTTTGTCAAATTCTCTCCTAGCCTTAGCATCGAACTCAGTTCTCCAAGTTTTATGCAATTTCCACTACTACAAAAATGGCCAAAGAGACCATATCAAAATGGACAAAAAGATTACCTTAGGCGTGGTCTCTAGCTCACAAGTCTCTTTGGCCAAAGAGACCACAATACTAAAAGTGGTCTAACTTTACAATACCTTAGACCACCTAGCTAAATTGATGGTCTCTTTTTTTAGTTTAATAAAAATTAATATAGAGGGATAAGAGACCAAATGTTTTAAATAGGTGGTCTCTGGATTTAAATACTGAGACCACCTATTTTAAATGAGTGGTCTTTCTTTTTTAAATAATGAGACCATTTATTTAACATAGGTGGTCTCTCTGAGGTCGCTTTTTTTTAAAAAAAAAAACATAAATAATTATATTCGTCTAATATCCAAGCCCTTTTGCAATTCATATTCCTGCAATAAATTTTGGCGCCAATATATGTATGTTGTTGTACCTGCTCCCTATACATATATATATATACATAAATTTTCCATATAATATACATAAATATAAAAGCTTTAATACAAAAACTAATTCTCTCCAACAGATTTTAACCCAAAATTTACATTAATTCTAATATTCAAAAACAAAACTCAAAAGTAGCTTTTCCTATATAAAAAAAAAGTTCAAAAGTGGAGCTAAATTCACAAGTATAATGATTAACACTAAGCGGAAGCAGCCCTTACAGTCTTGATTTTCATGGAGTAGCATAATGTGAATTATATGCTATTACCTTTAAGTTATCACAGGTTGGTATATCTTTGTATTGTTCATAAATTGAAAACAGTTCCAACAATTCATGTCAAAACAATATGCATGCTACAAACACATCAAGTTTATATTACAAAATATATACAAGTTCTCAAACAGTCAAGCATGAAGCTTTTCATATTCCTCTGTTGTAAACAATCCACTTAGCATATAATATATTATTAAAGCAATATTCACCTTAATTAAATCTATAATTCCATTCAAAAGAATCTATAGAGCAAAATGAATTACCTGGATCGTCACAAGGACTCTTGTTGATGGTATCATCATGATACATGGTGTAGCAAATTTAGCTATAGTTTCCTGATAATACATAGAAAATAACCAAAATTACAATGTACTCAAGATAAATTGAAAAAAGATGACAATTAAGAAGAAATTTCATAGTTGAACCCTAACATTAAAGGGCTGTGTAATACAGTTTTTTTCAAGAAAATCTATCATGAGTAAAAAGCAATAACACTGCAAGTTCGTGATCGAATACGTTCCAATAATATGTCACTGAGTTATTATCGGCAAAGCCAGATAAGTGCAGGGTACACTGATATAAACATGTACATATATTCTCTTCTCTATTCCATCATTCGTGATCGAATTTATACAAACTGATGTGTGTAGGGAATCTATAACTACTTTTGTGAGAAAGAACTATGCCAAAGGAGGTTGCCGAAACTCGGAAGCATATCATTAACTAGCAGAAATTAACTCTTCAAGAAGCTTTGGGAGTCCACTACTTGCAGGACTTCAGAAGTTCAAAGAATAATAGAAAGAGGTTCAAACATGTCAGTAATAGGGTTAAAAAGAACAATGTGAAACGAGAAGCCACTAAATCATAAAAATTTGAAACAAAACTATATCAAATATACAGTAGTAATCAGGATTGCCAAACAAAAACGTAAATTGAGTAGCACTTGTAGATTATTCATCATGCTGAGAGATAAGACATGCTTAGAAATCATCAACACCAAGTGTAAGACCTGCATCTTATTCAATGTTAGATGAAAACAAGGTGTCCCTACTCACTGCAAGAGAGTAGGATATGTAAGAGGCAAGCTGCTAGCCAGCCATCATTGTTAAAGGTGAGGTTATTTAACTGGACAATCAGAAGGCATAGCCCATATATACATACAACTCCTCTCCAAGGCTACGTCAAAGTGAGTTCAATGAGGCATTGTTCAGACTCCAAATTCAAAGTGACAAGACTGCTAATTGCCAAGTTATTTATCAATTATGCATTTCTTATGTTCTAATTCCTAAGTGAATATTTATTGATTAATTTCTCTAGCCGTCTACCATCGTGTTGCTGAAGGATAAAGGCATTCAAGCCACAACCGAGAACTAAAGCAATACACTTATAAGATTACTCTGGATCGGTTTTAAGTAGAGTATCACTAAGGCCTTGTATTGTTATAAACTCATTGTAATCTTGCAAATGTTTTTCCCCTTGTTATCACTCGGATACTTGATAAATTCCCGCTTATTACATAATGTGCATTGAGACTTATTCCAGTAGTTTATTATATTGCAATTTGCAATAGAAACCAAATTAAAATAAAAAATTGAACAAAAAAAACTCAATAAACCCTAAAATTCGCAATTCCTAATTCAACTAACTTATTACGTATTATTTTCAAGAATAGCCCCTAATAACCCATAAACATAATTGAGAAATACTAATTCCTAATTCTAGTTACTTAATTCGACCAAACTTTCAAGAATAATTCTCGAATCTGTGAAATTATCAGATTAAAACCAATTTTCAATTCAATCAATTATCAGATTAATATCAATTCGCAATTGAAAAAAATTAAAATAAAAAATTGGACAAAAAAACCAAAGATAAACCTTAAATTCGCAATTGACATAATGCAGTAAGAGAAAGATTGAATGGAAGGTAGGAAGAAGAAGAACGCGTACTAACCTAGGTGAAGTGGTGGTGGTGCAACAGCAGTAGAGGAAGATGACGGTGATGGCTGGCTTGCTTTGAGGTTCTAAACTTTTTTTTTTTTTTTGTTGAGGAAGAGTATGATATTCTTATTTTTTACGGTGAATACTGATGTTCTTGTTATTTTGGCGGCAATAACTTGTTTTTTTTTTTTTTTTTTTTTTGAGGAATAAGGGTTTTTTTTATTATACTAAGGGTTTTTTTAATCATACTAAGGGTTTTTTTATTATTTCTTTTTAATAAATATTAAAAATAATAGTAGCGACTATCGTGTTAGTCGCAAATTATTATAAGAGCGTCGCAGATTAGCAACCTCATAGCAACTATTATAAATTCGGTTGCAAATTTTGCGACTACTCGTTTTTTTCTGTCGCAAAAATATTTTTTGCAACTGATTATTATTGTAGTTGCAAAAATCAGTTGCTAATTAACGACCGCATAGCAACTACTGCAAATTCGGTTGCAAAATTTGCGACTACTCGTCTTATTCAGTCGCTAAAATTATTTTTGCAATTAATTATTATGGTAGTCGCAAAAATCAGTTGCTAATTCACCTTTTTCTTGTAGTGTTAAATACTTAAATCACTCTGCAATTATATAAAAGATTAAATTTGGAAATGTATTATCATTATTAACAACATGTTATTTTCCCCCGCAAAATCTGCAAATTCAGTAACTTTATTATTGCATTATTACCTATTAAACAATTGTTAAAGCTTTTTACTTTTTTTTAGGCTATCATTATCTAAATTAAACAAGATGAACTTATAAAATTGATAAAAGTATAATAAATATTACTTGTAATATTGTGCTGTATTTCAATTATTAATCCTCTAAATAGTATACAAATTAAAGAGGGAAATATATTTTTTTTTTTGAAATAAAAGAGTGAAAATAATAGTTCGTGATTGTACTTAACTTTTTTTATTGTTAGATAAGTATGTAAAAGATCTTGCTGAATCGGGACCTCTCATTAGTTAGCTTGGCTTGAATTTGCTTACTCAAATTTTATGAGGGAGTAACATGTATAGCGTACTTGAGTACTTATACTTATTTATAATACTCGTACATATTAGGACAAAGTACATATTGAATAAGACGAACCTTTATTAATGTATTGTAAGACGGTTAAAGTTACCCTAATAACAGTATTTAAATAAATTTATTGTAAACCATAAAATTAGAAAAAAAAATTCTCAACAAAAATGAGTTAAAATTACCTTTAAAATTTGTCAAGATTACCTTTAGATTGACCATTTTTCAAACACCTTATACCAGACTTTTTACTGGAAAAAAATCAAACACTTAATCCGAGATCTAATCATACAATCGTACTTGACTATTTATTTAATTATTTCCTGCGCCTATCCACTAACCATTGTTAGACTTTGACCTTTTCTTTGAGAAATGGTAGCATCTATACATAGCTAACCATTAACCACACAGATTGATCTTTTTGGAGAAATCTCCGATAGGTCCAAATCGCCACAAATTTTAAGCTGGTCCCGTGTTATAAAAATGTACATTTATTAGAAATAAAATGAATATTTACTAGAAAAAAATGAACATTTAGTATTTAAACATTGCAATATATAAAAATGAACATTTTTAATATAAGAAATATAATAAATAGATTATGAAACAGAAAAAAAAAACAAAAAAAAAAAAACTATACATCTAATGTTTTATAAGTATTAACTGAACATTTCAATTGTAAATAAAAATGAACATATCATTTTGTTGCTTATTCATCAACATATTTTTTAAGCTTCAAGTGAAATACCTTGATTTGTTCAATTATCTTGATTGAATTTCTTACAATTTGCTGAACTATATGATTTAATATCAATTAAATAAATCAACCATATGGTTTTTTTAATAATGAACAAAACTAATGTCTAACATTAATAATGCTAATGTTAATTGAACATCCTATACTATACAAACGAACAATTTATACAACTGAACAAACACAAAAATTTGTATTGATTAAAAAAAAATGAACATTTATTTTATAAGAATGAACAACATACGACATGAAAATGAACATTTATTTTATAAAAATGAACATCATACTACATGAAAATGAACATTTAATTATTGAGAAATACAAAATTATTGTAAAATATGACCATTTAGAAAATATTCATTTTTGATATGTTAAATGTTCATTTCTGAAGAGGGATCAACCAACTCTGGCCGATCTTGAGACCAGCTAACAACAACTGTCCAAACCGCATCTAATAAGAACAGGGCAATATCATTTTCATACTCAGTAATCAGCATGCCTCTATGGCTCTATATAGACCTTTTTGCTTGCAACTACCATCAACCCCTTTTCTTAATAAAATTGATAACTTTTATAACTCCCGACTTCCACCAACTCAAATAATTTCTTTCTTTCTTTTTTACAAGTTTGATATTTTTATTTTCATAATGAACCTCCATTCATTTTCAATTGGAGGGTACCCAATAGGCCAATATGGGTTGTAGAGTATATTTTTCTAAGTTTTCATCCTGTAAAAATTTAAAGTTATATACAGATACGAAGTATATATATATATATATATATATATATATATATATATATATATATATATATATATATATATATATATATATATATATATATATATATTATTAGGTATCAAGATATAGGCAACTCTACATCTATAATTAATTCGTCAAATTTTGTTCTATTTATAATTTACAATAGATCGAAAGACTTGTCCACGGAAATTAAACTAACCATAGTTGATAAAAACCTAGTTAGAAATCTTAAACTATGCAAAATTGCAAATAATATCAGTCAAAAATAACAAATTGGGTGTATTTTATAGTTTAAAACTCTATAATTTATAATGTATTGTTTTTAATATGCCCCATATTCTGTTAATTTGTGAATAATTATTTAACACACATTTAAATTGAACTACTTCATTTTTGGGTTTAGGCATGGAGATTAGACATGTTCTTTGATTTAAAATAAGTTCTTTGTCTTTTTTGTAGGTACCTTTTCTTTTATTTAATCCATATGCTCATTAAGTAGCTAGGGTTCGTGCTCATTTGTTTTAAGCCTAATGTTCTTTGAAATTATTCTTTATGTTCACTAGGTGCACAATGAGCATTGTGCACCCCGATGCATAGATCAATACTCGTAATTGCATAATGAAAAGGTAGAAAATGAAGAACAAAAAACCGATTTTAACTTGTTATTTAATTAAATCTCTAACTTTTAAGTTAACCATCAATCTACTAATTTTTATTACGTACTCCTCCGTGTTTTAATAACTGTTACACTTTGACCGACAAATAGTTTTAGGCAATTTTATTGACATAAATAAAATAATAGGTAAATGAGGTAGTTGGAGTATTAAAAAATTGTAATTCTCCCATTTTATATTTTTTTGCAACTTTTGCCAAAAATGGATTTGCAACTAATGTTTTCTTTCCTTTTTAGCTTGTCAATTCTCTTTAGGATTTTTTGTAAATTACCATCCCAAAATGTACCATGTATTGAAATAACCACCAAATTTTTTTGAAATTAAAAATAATCACCCATATTTTACAAAACATGTAGGTTTTACCACCCGACTTATATACTCCGACCAGTTTCCGAGCACGGGCTCCACATAATGGTTGTTTTATGATTTTTATAAAAGTTGTTTCTCGATTTATTTCCTCCCTTGTTTCACAAACTACTCCCAAACTTAAAATTCTTCATTTTTTTCCAAAAACTCTACCAATTTTTACTCCAAGTTTTGCAAATTGACAAGCGAATCTTTTGAAGAACGCACTTAAATTTTTTTACACTGATTTATTCATCAAGGTAATTGAAGAACACACTTCATTTTTATTTTTTTAGTTATTTTGCAATGTTTAATGAAGTAGAATTCAAGTTATACGATATTTGTTGTTTGGAATGTGTTTTATTAGGAATTTAATGATGTAATTGTTGTTTGATTCATTCAATTTGACTTGAATTGAGATTAGGGTTCTTCATAATGAAATTGTAGGACACATGCTCGGAAAACTGGCCGGAGTATAGGAAGGGGTGGTAAAACCTACAGTTTTGTAAAATATGGTTGGTTATTTTTAATTTCAACAAAAATGGGTGGTTATTTCAACACATGTTACATTTTAGGGTGGTAATTTACAAAAAATCCTTTTCTTTATCTCTCTCTTCATCACATGCTCTCTTCATCACATGCATTTCTATTTTTCTCTTATACTCACAAGCAAATTTTGCCTAGAAGTCCATGCGTCCTTTAAAGTTGTAAAAAATGAGAAACATAGATAGTAAAAGAAAAATAATGGGGTTAATAGTTTTTTGAAAAATAATAAATGTAAAAAAAAAAAGATATAATAAAAATAAATAATAATAGGCTTGAGTTGGACCGGAGAAAAATATTATATTTAAATGTACGTCTAACATTATTAACACACAGCCGCAGGGTAATACTTGTTAAAGCACCAAGAGGGTAACATATTCAACTCAACCACCTAATTTTCTTGACAAGTCAGAGTATTGCATTAATACGAAAAATAAAATAACATAAAGAGAAAAGGGACCAGGGGTACTAGGTACTTGCAATTTATATTGCGATAGCGAGTAGTATAAATATTTATCGTACTTATAGTCTTATGTATTGCGAGCATCCACAAAACATTATTGGATCTTTCTTTTGAATAAAATGGCAGCATCTGAATTAACCACAAATTATCAAGATAACCTTGTGTTAGTCTCATTCTTAATAGGATTCCTAGTTTTCTTCACCCAAATCTTCAAATTTTTCAAATGGGTTTGGTCCATGTTCTTAAGACCCCCCAAAAAATTAACCAACTATGGTTCATGGGCTCTAATCACTGGCTCAACTGATGGAATTGGTAAATCTCTCTCCTTTGACCTAGCCTCCAAAGGCCTTGACTTGATCTTAATTGGTAGAAACCCCCAGAAACTCCAAACTACATCTAATGAGATTTGGGCAAAGTTTAAAACCAAGATTAAGATTATACTCATTGACTTTGAGAAGACTAGTGGAGAAGAGATTAAGAAGAAGATTAAGGAAGAAATTGAAGGATTAGAAGTTGGGATTTTGGTTAATAATGTTGGATCATCTACTAATGGTGCAAGATTTTATCATGAGATTGGTTTGGAAGGAATGGGTAGTTTGGTAAATGTGAATATTGGGAGTGTAAATTGGGTTACTAGTGCTGTTCTTCCTGGTATGTTACAAAGAAGAAAAGGTGCTATTGTTAATATTGGAAGTGGCTCTTCTCTTGTTGTCCCTTCTTACCCTCTTTTTTCCATCTATGCTTCTACTAAAGCGTAAGTTTTACTCGTTCTGTTTCGTATTAGTTGCTCCATTTGCTTATTTTTTTTCCGACTATGGATGAACATTTTTGCTTCATGATTATATATATATATATATATATATATATATATATATATATATATATATATATATATATATACTACCTCCGGTACAAATTACTCGCAACTTTGGAATATTTTATAGTATCTTTGGAATATTTTATAGTATCTCACAAATAATACCCCAAAGTTACGAGTAATTTGGAACGGAGGTAGTATATTTTTTTCTTCTAGGGGTGTTGAAAATAATTGGATAATAGTTAATGTTCTGTTTTATGCACTTATATTTCTTTCTTAGTTTAAATTTATTTTTAGATTAATAGATTTAGATGATTTGGGCCAGATTTAATAGTCATGTTGGTAGTGAAATACGTTAATATGAAATCAGTAATGTGACAATTAAATCTAGATGTATATATTTGGATTCGCCGTTGAAGTGGTGACACTTAATCAGTTTTACTTGATTAATTGAAGCTTTTTGGATGGCAAAGTTCAAGTCTTGGATGATTAATGTTTAGTTTGTATTCAATTAGCGTATAAATCCTCAAAAACTTTGTTCAATAGATTTGGACCCTAGAAAAAAAATAATAATAAATAATTGTGGTTGTGGTTGTTTAGGTACATTTGAACCTGAATTATATGGAAGTAGCAAAAATTTAGTTGCAACTCAGTTATTACAAACACCAACCTTTGGTGATTGTAAATGCACAAAAGTTGGGGAGGAATATTGTGCTACTAAAAAAAATAGCGAAATTCTAAAATGGTTGTTTGTTGATCTATGCATAAAAAATAAGGAATACTCCTGTCTAAATTTAGTTTTCACATGTGGTTAAAATCATGTAGTCGATGTGATAATTTATTCTGACATAATCAAACGCTCTAAATAACACAGATATGTTGCTATGTTCTCGAGAAGCTTGAGTTTGGAATACAAGCAGTTAGGAATTGATGTTCAGTGTCAGGTAACGCCGTAAATTAACTTTGTTGTACAATGTGGATGAGTTCTGTTTTATTGCAATTTTTTGAAGGGCTTTTTTGGGGACTATTGTTTTTCAGATACCATTACTTGTAGCAACAAAGTTGGCATCCATAAAGAGATCGTCCTTTTTTGTCCCTTCACCGGAGCAGTACAGCAAAGCGAGTGTAAGATGGATAGGGTATGACTCCCTTTGTGTTCCTTACTGGACTCATGCTTTGCAGTGGTATTTGTTCAACGCGATGCCTGACTCCTTGGTGAATTGGTTGCTTCTTCGATATTTTCTTAACTTGCGTAAGAAAATTCTTCGAAAGGAGAACAAGCTAGCCTAGTTTCCATGTACCATAATCAGCCTTTGCCTAAGAAATCAAGATTGAGATCGTACTAAGCTCATTAATGTCACGATTATCCTTGGCAGTGCATTTACGTTTGTGTTATGTTGGACCGTTGATTGTTGTACGTTTTACTAGTCTTATATGGAGATTATTAAGCGTTTAGTATAAGGATATCGGTATTTGTAAGCTATTTTCTGAGAACATCTCCAAAATAGCATGATTCTAGATTTCTAGTCCAAGGAAAAAATGTAAATGAATGATGACAATGATCCCATATGAAACACTTTTGACCTCAAAAGTTAATCATGTTGTGCTCTACCTTTGTAATTATGCTCATTTAACATTTTGGATGTTAGAATAAATGAATAATGTTGCATCAACAGAAAAAATGTTTGATAAGTGGGCCGAGTGGCTATTAGTCATGGTGTATCTCATGGATCATCATAATTTTACTTGGACCAAGTTTCCAATTGGGCCTTTACAGATTCATTTCCTTGAAGGGTGCCAAGTAGCCCAAGTTGCTACTTCAACACCAACTTGCAGACTTGCTGGTTCTGTATTTTTAGGGGTTGGGTTACACCCCTGCTAAAATAAACTTGACCTGACTCAACATGTGAATGTAGGTGATTTGTAATTAACTAATTGTCAATAGTCTCGAAAAGTTAAAAATAATATAATCCAAATTCATTTCAATATCGATCCTAACCCCGAGTGATTCAACCCAAATCGAAGTTGAACAATCTATTTTGCTACCTATACTTGTCATTTAGTTAGCTTGAAAAAATTATATTGATTTTTTTTATAGAAGGTTGTTTATGTTCGGGTTGGCAAGATCGAACACCTTTTAACACGAAACAAGTATGGGTAAACCAATCCACGCACCACCCCAAAATAGGAACCAATAACTAATTTAGAATTATGAATTTGAAATTTCGATTCATAGTGATTTGGCCTATCATGTTATACAATACATACAAGTTAGGGAGTTTGCATAAATAAATATGCCAACGTTAGAATTAGTGAGCATAGTCGGCAAGAGAATAAGGATTGAACAGGATCAATAGAGACCTCTCTACTTGTATATGTGCCTATAAACTTTTGTTTTGAAATCATGTGATGTTAATATTAAAAAGAGCTAATTTAAATTGATAATCTAATACGGAGTATGTGTCATTGGCTCATTGCCAAATTGCCATGCCTACCTCAAGGACCTCAACCCATCACTTCATATTTACATTTGTGAACATTCATATCTCATTAATTTAGCTCATCAACTTCCAACGACCACATTGAAACAAAGTACAGCACAACTCTACTCTACCAATTTGATTAATTGCTGCTCATCCTCCATATTTTACTACTCGTAGCAGCTAACAAACTCCACCCACTTTCTCTCTCCTCCTTATATAAATCTCTCAATGACCCCTTTCTTCTTCAGATCCTCATTTCAGATCTCACAATTTATTTACAGAGCTCCATTAATGGCGGTCTGTTTAATACACCAACTCAAATCCCAACCTTCTTGGGTGATCTTCCTCTTTGCCATTGGATCCTTCACTCTTCTAAGAACCCTTTTAGGAGTTCTAAAATGGGTTTATATCAATTTTCTTAGACCCCCAAAAAATTTGAAGAAATATGGTTCTTGGGCAGTTGTTACTGGACCCACTGATGGAATTGGCAAGGGTTTCGCCTTCCAATTAGCTCGAAAAGGTGTTAATCTAATCTTGGTGGGTCGAAATCCTGATAAACTCAAAGATGTTACTGATTCAATCAAAAGTAAAAATTCAAATACCCAGATTAAAACTGTGGTGGTTGATTTTTCTGGGGATTTAGATGAAGGTGTTAAGAGGGTTAAAGAAGCAATTGAGGGTTTAGATGTTGGGATTTTGATCAATAATGTTGGGGTTTCTTACCCTTATGCTAGGTATTTTCATGAAGTTGATGAACAATTATTGAATAATTTGATTAAGGTTAATGTTGAAGGAACTAGTAAGATTACACATGCTGTATTGCCTACTATGGTTAAGAAGAGGAAAGGTGCTATTGTTAACATTGGTTCTGGTGCTGCTATTGTTATTCCATCTGATCCTCTTTACTCTGTCTATGCTGCTACTAAAGCGTAAGCTGTGCTCTTGTTTCGTGCTAATAATACTGGGTTTGATCGTCTGATACAAGAATTTGCGATTCGATTCGATTTGATGCTGATGTATATGTTCTTTTTTGTGATTTGTTTTCAGGTATATTGATCAGTTTTCTAGGTGCTTGTATGTTGAGTACAAGAATATGGGGATTGATGTGCAGTGTCAGGTACTGTTTCATTCATATTTGATCAAATTTTATGTTGTTTAGAGCTAGGTACTGTTTCTATGCATTCTTAATCATCATTTTTGAAGTCAAAGTCTAATGTAGCTATGATTTATATACTATTGTATTCTATGCAATTTATCAGAAATTAGAAACATGAGATTGGTTTTTTTTGCTGTCCTGGTGCTTCGTTTTACTGATCATATGATTTTAGTTAAGTAATTACCAATGCCGTCAACGTGTGCACGTTGTTGTGATCACTATGGATCAATGATTGTTATTTTTTGGTGTATATTGTACAACATGTTAGGTAGTGACTTATGCTTAGTCAGTTGAATGGATTATGGACAGTAAAGCCAAATTTCTAACCACCCTGGAACTAATATTGGTATTATAATGTGATATGTTTGCACAAGTAATACATGTGAGACATTAACTTGCATTGTTGCTTTGCCCTTCCATATATCATGGAGAACATTTCAAAACGTGTCGCCTTTTCCTTAGCTGGATTAGTGCAACCTTCGGAATATTATTGACCTACTTTTCTTTTCTTGTAAGATTTTCCCTTGTTTTGCTAATTGGCTCTCCTTTATACTTCTTATTTTATCCTGGACTTGCTATTGAGAAGAGATCATATTGGAAGACACTTATTTGCTCTCTCCCACTCCTTGTCTTGGTTGAAAATGTGAAAAAGTGTAATTCATGTAATTTCCTATGAGAAAATACAGAGCTTATTTATTTTTCAGGAGTTTTGGATGTCGAATGTCAAGTCTTGGAAATTGGAATAAAGCTTTTGAAACTGTCATCTTTTTATGTTAGTGCCTCTCTGTAGCTTCTAGAACTTGCTTCCTGAAAATCTGTTGGGGGGGGGGGGGTACCTTAATAAATAAACTGAATCAAAAAATTCTGGTAATTCCTGCAACTCAAGTGCTCCCTGGTCCAGGTCCTCCAGTTCCGCACCACACAACACACACCATTTAATTTCACTATTTTGAAGCCTTTTTTGATGCTCAACCTACCCCATAAACACCGCCGGAAGATGAAACTTGTGTTGCATAGCAACAATAAATTCTTCTGTAACTTCAGTACATCATCTTTCCTTCACTCTATAAGCTGTTCTTATTTTTCAGTCTTTTATCTTTGAATATACAACCCATCTTTGTTTTCATCCGTATAATTTTTCTAGATTTCCTAGCATATCAAGTTTATCATCTTGTTCTGTGTTTGTTGTTTTTAGTTTCTCCTTGTTAGAGGGTGTGGTTAAGCTATGGTGTCTTTCCTCTGTTGTTGTGATCTTTGATGATGATCACACCTTATAAAGATGTAAAAAAGTTATACTTCTAGTAAAAGTATTTCCATTGCTAGCAAAGAGTAGCATAGGTTTTTTCTTTTAATTTGGTGTGGTACAAATAAATTCTAGCAGAAATGACATGCAATTTGGATACTTCTGCTAAAAGCACATTGACTTGTAATTTTGTAAATGCTTAAAGTAACATACTAATTTACCTTATTTACACTCAGTGGACCTTGGCTTCATAAAGGTATCTTCTCCTGTACTATAGAAATTGGTCCATCACCAATGTTCACTAAGCTTTTGAAACGAACTCCTGAGTCCTGACACAATTTACCAACCTGCATGGGAAGCTGAGGGCTTGAAATTTGTTTATAGAACACTTATCTGTCATATATAATAGGCTTTAACTTTCAAGTACCAACGTGAATTTTCACAGTGACTTGTATCACAGTGAAATTGGTACAGTATGCAGGCCATTGAGGCTGATGCTTCTATCTAAATTGCTTCATGTTTACATGTTATGGAGATAAAAAAATTGATTCAATTGTCCTAAGTTGCCTCAGTGGCTTATGTTGTTCTGTTCTTGGATGTTTACATTGTGTGTATGTTACAAGCCTCATGGGTGCATTATCAAGGGTTTTTTTTATCCTCGTTTACTTAATATATTGCAAATGGCTCATGGATGCAGGTTCCACTCTATGTAGCAACAAAGATGGCTTCTATCAAGAGATCTTCCTTCTTTGTCCCATCAACAGATGGTTATGCAAAGGCTGGTATCCGCCACATAGGCTATGAGCCTCGGTGCACCCCTTACTGGCCACACTCTTTTCTCTGGGGCATAGCATCCTGTGTGCCCGAGAGCCTCATCGATGCTTGGCGTCTAAGGTTCTGTCTCGGAATCCGCAAGAGAGGTCAACTCAAGGATTCAAGGAAGAAAGAGTAAAAAAGGAACATGTTATCTCTATCCGGACCAAAAGAGGTTGTCTAGGTTCTTTAGGATGTGTATCAATGATAAGCGATGTGCCTTAAATTATCCCCATGCGAATTTTTCTGCTTGATCTTTTGTTTATTCCTCGATCATTAGGGGGCTATATTGCATTTCTGTACCAATTTGTTGTCTTTTCAATGGAAAGTCTAAATTATTTACGGAGTAATTTCGTTAACAAGTGGTAATTGCTAATTGTAAATTACATGACCTCGTGGACACAAGGCCACACAACCCTTGTATCCAAATCTAAATTGATAATTGTCCTAATTCATAAAGGCATAGATATTGTCCGTTCTGGACCTAGCCAACACGGATTTTTCTTAGGCACTTTCTCAAAATATTTCATACTAATTGGAGTATACTCTCACTTATAAAGAAGTCACGTTTTCCTTATTCTTTCCAAGTGGGACTTTGGTTGCCTATCCCTACATCTATATCCTGCATAAAGATTTTTGATGTCTCGTTCAATTGCACGTTTGACACCATGATGAAGAGTCAAAGGAAACCCTTTACACCTTTATACGTTTGACACCATGATGAAGAGTCAAAGGAAACCCTTTACACCTTTATTTTATCTAAGTACTCATAATCCATAACCCTTTACGCCTTTATTTTTCCTAATATTACTCGTAATCCATAATCCGTAAACTAAAGAAGTAGAGAGTAATCAGTGTATATGACTATTTGGCCATCCTTTGAGAAATATAGTACTCCCTAAAGGCTAAAAACTGGTTTCAAAAAAAGACTAAAAGAAGCCCTTTTTCCCAAAATTACAAGGTAGCCGCGAAATGTTCAATTCCAACATTGAACAACCCTATAAAACGACGACGTTTATCCTTCCGTTGACAAACCTTCCCTCAATTTTAATTTCCCTTTCTTCTTCAGTCTTCACTGCCGCCCATCTCTCTGAAATTCGAAGGTTCATCAATGTTGGAAAGAGAGGTTGAAGAAGACTCACAAATGGCAGCAGAGAAATCAAGGGCTGTTTTTGTTGATACCAATCTTAATACTCATCTCATCGTCCCCATTTATTCCCATTCTTCTGTCACCTCTCTCAAACGTAAACTTCTCACCTTTTTTTTTTTCAAAATTATTCTAATTTCTGATTTTATTATTGTCTTTGATCATCCATTTTGATGCTTATATTGCAATTTTTACGCTTTTTATGAACTGGGTTTTTATTATATTTGTATGATTCTCCTATTTTGGCAAATTCTGCATTTTGGGGTTTTACCTGGGTTTATCGAATAGTTGTCCGAATCGATAAATAATAGGTCTAGTATACAACGGGTGTATTATCATACGAGTGTACAATAAACTTTGAATGCACCGGGTCTAATACTTTATTGTAATAGTCATGCCGAATGCAAATGATTCTAGTGTTAGTAACAAATAGAAGAATTTTAATCCATATTTCTGGAAAATGTGAGGAGGGAGTATAGAACAATTGGTGTTACTATTATTAATTCTTGTATGTATATCATTAAATGCATACTACTACAAAGTTTGCATTTGCATTTGTCAAAATAGTGGGCTAATATGGCTTACCACTCTCATTGATTCTTCTTTGTGTTTGCAGGGCAACTTCGTCGTGAACATTTCGAGTGCTTTCCGGAGTTAGGGAGGATTGAAATCAATGCTCTTTCGGTATATTTTCACTGTTTTTTTACCTGTGCTTTAGAGAATTGTTTTGTGCTGATTTTGGATTATGATTCTTCTTGTTTTATAGACCTGTCTTTTCATGTAATATGCTGAGTCGCTGACCCTCGAATGTGGGTTATGAAGCTTCAACACCTAAATTATCCCATAATCATCCAAACTGTCTATTATAATCAAGTGAATGGAGAGATGGAGTTTGTGTCCGTGCGTATGGTTACACATATAGTATCACATATGCATATCTTTTACGAGTATATATATATTTTATCAGTCACTGTATTAATTTTGGCTGTACGGGTTGGTGTTTGATTGCTTGTTGTAGGTGAAATTGAATGATAGCCACTACCATCTTCCAGACTATATGCTTCTCAAAACTGCTTTTCATGGGGTAGCAGATGCATGGTTTGTATTTGCTGACGTTTGGACACCGGGTAGCTGTTTAAAACCCCAGAAGGATATTGAATGCAAGCCCTTAGAAGCACGTCTGTGGCATCAAAATGAATTACAACTTGTGAAATCATCTCCTCAGCCTCATGTGACTCTAGACATGAGTAGTAGTAAGAAAAAGAAAAAGAAAAAGAAGAGAAAGGAAAGAAATAATGAAGGGAATGTGGAGAATAATAATGGTGGTGTGAAAGAGCAAGAAAAAACAAGAGGCTCAGATCAATTGGATGTCCCAAAAGCTGTGAGTAAAAATCATTTAGCAAAATATATATAGGTGTATGCCATGTATCTATGCTGTGCTCATTTTTTTTCCTTCATTCTTTCCATTTTTTTGTTCTGGCAGGACAAAGTTAGTGCCACTAAGCAGCTACATAAACCAAGTGAGGGTCTTCACTATACTTCTGTCGTACACCCATCTGTAATGCATTTGAAAGATGGTGGTGATAACACTGTCAAATATTTGCAAAAGGGAGCTGGGATGGTGCATCAATTGGAAGGTGAATTCTGTACCCTCTGAAACATTCTTTCGTATTGAAAATAACCCTGTCATTCAGCTAATTTATTGATTTGTTCAATGCTTGCTCATGTCCATTCTTTGCCAAGTCCCAAGTGTATATGAGTTGGCTGAAAATCTACTTCCATGTAAGATGCTTAAAATATTTAATATATAATATAAGACAGGAATTTTTTTACTTCTATACTGTATGGTTGCTTGTGTACTTCTTGCGTCCTCCTTAAAGGAAGGGGGAGATACATATGATTTAAGTTGGAACAGATTCCTGAAAGGAGAATATTTACCTGATTGAGAGGAAAATGAACAAAAAAAGGTCATTACTTAGATTTTGTTATTGTAAAGTAAATCTGGAAAGAAAAAAGGTTTTCTGTCAAATAGAAATGAGCCTTACAGGAAATTCTTAAGCAGGTACTAGCACAAGTTTAGCTGAAGTTCTCAACAAAGAAAGTGGAATTGACACCTCATTGCCTAAACCCCGATTCAAGAAAACCAAGAAAACAAAGAGTAACATTCGTGTCAATAATAGCCCTGCTGCAACTTCTAATCAAGAGCCTGATATTCTAGAAAAGGGTGACGCACCTTCTGACAATAAGCATACCATCTACAAAGAAGGTATTAAAATTGCTGAAGAGGTACCACCGTCACAGCTGAATAATGTTTCAGAGCTGTTGTTTCAACATGATCCATTGAAAATAGAAAAGGAAACTGTAGAAGATGTTGCTCCTTTGAAGTCAGACAATGCCGCTAAGAAAAGGAAACGAGACAGAAGCGGACAAGAAAGAACTGCTGAAAAGGTAACACCATTGCATCTAAACAATGTTCCAGAGCTGTTGCTGCCTCAAAAGGAGTCAATGAATTTAGTTGATAGAGAAAAGGAAATTGAGGAAGATATTGCTCCTGAGAATCCTGCGAAGAGAAGGAAAAGAAATATATCCAAGAACTCTGGTACAGAAAATCAGGAACTGTTAAGCAAAAGGCAAATTGCTGATCAAAAAGAAGATGACATGAGGACTTGTTTACCAGATGACACTAGCAGACCTGAAATGTGTGTGGAAACTATAAGTAAAACTCCCAAGAAGAGGTCTCAAAATGAGGAAGCTGTTCCAGAAAAGGACTCTCAAGAGGAGATTCAGAAATTAGAAGCCCCTGTGACTGTTACTCAGAGTGACAAACCCAAGAAGCAGAGACAAAAAAAGCAACCTGCTCCTACATTGGATCCTTCCAGCTTATCTGTGGATCACCATTTAGATGAAATAACTATGGAAATGGAGGCACCAAAAAAAGTAAGTGAAATCTAGTTGCCAAGATGTTTATTTCCTCTAAATAGATTATTATTGTCAAGCAGCTAGAAGTCACAGAATCTTTTTTATTTTTTGGATGTGAAACAGGCTGATGCTATCTTGACAACATGCAATGCTATTACCAATGATGATCTGTTGAAGTCAGTCAACAATGCTAAGAAAAGTAAAACAAATGAAAGTGAACAAGAACACAGAACTGCTGCAAAGGTATCACAGTCGCATCTAAATATTGCTCCAGACTTTTCTCAAAATGAGTCGGTCAACTTTGCTGAAAGAGAAAAGGAAATGAAGGAAGTTGTATCTCCGTCAAAGTCAGAGCACTCTAGGAAAAAAAAGAAAGAAAGGAGAGATTCCCAACTGAAAAAGAAAGAAATTAGTGTGTTGACAGAATCTAGCAAAATGCAGAATGATATTGACAAACCCGAAGAGAGTAAAGAAACTATGAGTAAATCGCTGAAGAAGAGGTCTCTGAATGAGGAAACTATATCTAGCAGGGTCCCTCCTGGTTCTTTATTGAAAGAGAAACCAGATGAAGAAACTAGGGAAAGGGCTACCCCCTACACTGTGATTGAAAGTGACAAACCCCTTACGAGAAGCCATAGGAAAAAGCTATCTGTTTCTGGGAAGGACCTTTCCAGCTTGGCTGGGAAGCAGCAGTCAGCTGAAAAAAAGATGGAAATGGATGCACCAAAAAGTGTATGTGAAATGGAGTTGTTAAGAAGTTACTGCCCTTAATAGATTTATACTGTCAAGCATCTAAAAGCCATTGCATGGTGACTAAATTATTTCAACTTCTTTTTATTGACAGGTGGAAGAGGCTGATGATGCAAAAATCCAGAAGAAAGTGATACAGGCTGAAGTGCATCATGATGATTCGAGGGAGGTTCCTTCCCTAACAGTTTCCTCTGTATTATCAGAATCAAAGCATTTGGAAAAGTCATGGACAAGAAAACAGAAGGCAAAAAAACATGATCAACCTTCAGCTGTAGATACTTCATTTAATGGTCAAAACTTAGCTGAATCGAAGAAGAATCAAGTACTTGCAAAAACTTCTGAGATTCAGAAATTAAGCACTGTGCAAGGCCAAGACAAACCTATACCTCCGCGGACAGACCTCCCAGTTGCTGCACCTACCAAAACTAACAAAAAAGGTGATGTTTCCCTTGCAAGTGTGGATGATGGAAGCAGAATCTCTGGCAAAATAATAATGAGAGAAACAGATGCCCCTAGAAGAGTAAGTCATGTCAAGTTACCAAAATGCAAATTTTCAAACTAATTCTTTGGGTGAAGCAGCTGTAAGTGATTCTATGACGGCTGATTTTTTTTGTTTTGTTTTGTTTGGGAGGGGGGTTTAGGTTGATCAGGCTGATGATCTTTTTACAGATGCTGAGAGTAATGGTGCTCAAGAGCACAAAGAAGTGATAGAAGATGATGAGCATGGTGAATTCAGTCAGGCTCCTCGCCTAGAAGATTCCACTGTCTTGGCAGATGCAGCGCAGCTTGAAAAGCCACAGGCTAGTAAGCAGAAGGTCAAGAAACTTGATCAACCATCTTCTATTGATACTTCATCTAATGGACGTGATTTGCTTGGCTTAAAAAAGAATAAGGGAAGTTCAAACACTTCTGAGCTTCTGAAGCCCATCACTGATAAAAAACATGACAAATTCAGTCTCAATGTCAAAAATTCAGAAATTTTGAAAGAAGTAAATTCAATTGTTGCTGATCCTACCAGCATCTCAAGGAATATTGGTGTTTCTCGTGCAAGTTTAGACGATGGAAGCAAGTCTTCTGAAGTATTAAACATGAGCTTTGGAAATACAGTAAAGAAGATTCGTGAGAGAGGAAGGGCTAAGGAGCCACCAAAAAGGCTGGAAGATAATTCTGTTGGCATTAGAAAGTCTTCACTTTTGAGCACAAAACAAACAAAGAAAGGGTTAGCTTCTTCAAAAGCAATATTTGATGATGGTACTAGTTCATCTTCTGATGATGAAGATAGAACTAGTTCTAGCGTCACAATACCACCAGACAATTTATCTTCATCTGATTATTCGGAAGGGGAAAGCGAAGGAGTGGTGATATCGCAACCTGGTAATGTGTTGAATCTTGCTGTGAATATTTTTTTGTGCATTATTCAGCTTTCAGTCATTGATTGCCAATGCAATGGAGAACTTGATTTAACTTGTTGTCTCCATAATGCTCCTACATCTTGATTTACCGAGTCTGCACTTATATTGTGAGAGGGTGCTGCAGTTCACAATTTTTCAAATGTGCTGCTTTTGGTCTCAAGTTAATTTTTCTTGTTGTTCAATCTCTACAATTTAGCGCACTATTTTTATTGTACAATTTTTCAAGTTGATTTCATTGTGAATTTTTTATGTTATGCTATTTGCATCTTATTTTCTAACATTTTTTTGTTTGCATCTTTTGCCAGATTCTTCCAATGGTAATGAAAGAAGCAAAGCAAAGTAAGTGTAACAATTTGAGCTCTTTTTTATTTTATTTTTTTTTCTTTTTGGTTAATATTTTCCATTCATCAATTCATCACTCTGATCACGGTTGCACAATTAAGACAATGTTGCTGATGTGTCCAGGCACATCCTCTAGTAATAGTTCATATTATGGGACCTCAAGATGACTTCAGGAGTATCTAATTGTTCTCTGTTTGTGTAGCTCATCTGGCTCGAAGCTGGAATCGATCCTACGAAGCTCAAGCAGATACAAGAAGGCCAAGTTGGTGGCTTCCCAATCACAAAACGATAGTGAGCTTCCTGAGTTTGTTCCAGATAGTCTTGCAGATGTGTAAGTCTCGTATTATTTTTTGCCTGGTGAGTTGTTTTAGTCCGGGTTTTTTTTATAAATCGTATATGAAGGGAATTGTTATGTTCCTCTTCCAATTTTGTCACAAATTATATGTACTCATGTGTTGGCTTTTGCTCAAGAAAAGAAAAAAAATCATCTTGGTTTTTTTTTAAATTCCAATTATTACGTTGGCTCACACAAACTAATGGAGGCATTTTCACAAGTAGATGGATAGGGACAAGTTGTTCAACCAAATTTATCAAAATTATACAACATGAGCAACCTTCAAGGACAACATAGGGGAGAAAATGGGAAATGGAAATCAAAATAATTGCCTCAAGACCCATATAATACCAAATTACTGTTGATTCGAACGTAACCAATCAACAATAATCAGCATAATGACAGGAAAGATCTTCTTGCCTAAGCTACTTGCAAATTGATGCAATACGAAGATGATATCTTTATGTTTGACGATCACAGTGCTCCTTTTCTGAATCTGAACAAGGACTGCTTGAAAGCCACCTGCAGCACGCCCCGTCATTTCTTGCAAGTTGCTGTATATAGAGCCCCAGTCCACCCTACTGCCAGCGACTTTACTGGTTTTGGAAGACACTGGAAAACATGTGTCCATTTTCGAGACATTTGAGGTTTATACTTGCGCAAGTCTTTGGAGTTTACTACTTAAACCCTAAGAAACCTTGAACTATCAATTTAAATTTTGAAAGGCTCGTCATATATGATTGTTATAGCAACTCCAATGGTTGACTTGTTTATCTTTTAGCTTGTAAATATAAAAAATCTTAAGCTAAAAGCTCAACTATCATTGCACATCTTGTTCATTAGTGACAATTAGCATAACCATTAGATCAATAAGTAGCTAGAATTGTTAGAACTTGAGAAAATGATGTGGCATGATGACAAGCTATTAAATGAATTAGCCAGCCATTGGAGTTCATATCGTTGAACCTCAAGATGACTTCGAGAGTATCTAATTGTTCTCTGTTATTTATCTTGTGGAGCTCATCTGGCTCAAAGTTAGAATCCATTCTACGAGGCTCAAGCAGATACAAGATAGTCTTGCAGCAGAAGTGTAAGTCTCGCCAATGGCTTGTTTCTTTTTTTTGGCCTAGTGAGCTGTTTTGGTCCCGGATTTTTTTGACCATATCTGAAGGGCAGCGTTTTGTTCCTCTCCCAATTTTGTCACAAATTACCTGTACTCTTGTGTTGGGTTTTGCTCTAATGTACGATATGCATCTCGCTCTCACAAATGGAAAAAAAACATCGTGGGGTTTGTACCATACAAACAATTACGTTGGCACACTCAAAATAATGGAGACAGGGACAAGTCGTTCGACCCAGTTATACATGAACAACATAACTTGAAGAACAAAATTAGGGAGGTTAATGAATTATCATGATCATACTAGTTGCCAAACACTCGCACATTATACCGAATAAACGATACATAGTAATTCTCGTGAACAATCTCGTTCTGTTATGACAAGAGCGTAACCAATCTACTACAGTCAGCTTTAAGACAACGGAAAAGACGACCTTCTTTGCCAAGATGCTTGTAAATGATGCGTGCTATTTAAAGAGGATGTCTTTAGCTTCGATGATCATAATTTTCGAATGTACTCCAAATATATAACTAGAGCTGACAATCTCTGACACGACATGGCAACACGACAGAAACAGGCATGACATGAACATGAAGTTAATGAGAGAAAACACGAAGTCGACATGAATTTTTGCCAGCTCTATATGACTCCCAAACCTACCATACTGCCACCAAACCTATATACTTCCCGTGTTTTCTTTTAAATGCAACGCACATTTTTGTCACTCTTTTTTAGAAGATGATTAAACGAGATAAACGAGCTACTTTATCAAAATAATTTCAACACCAAGATTTTAGTAGGGTTAGTAACTATTTGCATAAATTTTTTTGATTAATTTATCCGTTTACATTACTAAATCTCTTCCTCAAAATACATGTCAAGAAAGTGTGTTGCATTTAAAAGAAAAAAGAGAGGTATATATAGTTTTGGAGACCTTGAAGTTCCCATTAAGAAAGACTAATCATTTCTATCTTCTCCTTATCCATCCATAATTTGCGAAGAAAAACTAAATGTTCATTTCTAGGTACACCGTACACATAGGTGTATAACGAAGAAAAACTCGACCTTTTGGTCATTTCTTGATGCCTAGCCTAGGTAGTTCCAATATGCCACATTATGTTCGAAAGTTGTACCACTAAAATGTCGTGGAGAAAAAAAAATGTTCATCTCCTAAATTGTTGATAGCTTGAAAAAGTTAAAGATCAGAGAGGTATCATGCCCACAATTATAGCAAACAGTTCTTGAACTTAGTATGAACAACGTTAGTCAGAAGTTTTTAATTGCGAAATTAACGGATCACTTTCCAACAATTTGCAACAGGAAAGCATTTATGGGCCATGTTACGCAAATATATTTATAAATGCGGAATGCGGAGTAGTATATATATGGCTGTTTGCTGATTATATTTAGTGGATATAATATAATACTACTATTCCCTCCGTCTTTTTATAATTTTTATAACTACATTATAGAAAAATTTCAAATGCAAAGATTTTAAAAATAACGAAGAAAGTATTGAATACAAGTAGATAGATAACCGTTGCTAAATGACAGTTTCAAAACATAAAATGCTTGCACCTTTATTTCCTTATCTTTTTAGGCAAATACATTTGAGTTATTATCTTTAAGGCATAAAAAAAATTCAAATTTATAACTAATATGTAACGAAAGTAATATCTTTACTTTAGTTACGTATTAGCAAGAATTATGAAATTTTGATATTTGGAAAATAGATGTTGACATGAATCTAACAAGATTCTACATAACTAAGCATTTATCTAACATTAAGCTACAAAACGAAGACAAAGTAAATTAGGTAGGTGAATAGTGTACAAAGTCAAAACATATCAATTAAAAAAATCGAGGTAGTACGGGTTTGTTTACATTTACTGAACTGAACTAAACTAAACTGATTGAAGCTGAAATGAATATTTTTATGAGAGGGAAAATAGGAGCTGAACTGAATTGAACTGATTGAAGCTGAATTGAACTGAATTGAAATTAAGTAAATATGAACAAGCTCATAATATATGATCGTATATTGAACAAAACATGCGGTGAAAGTATAGTCCAATGGAGGAGCTAGAGTCAGAATCCTTTAACCAAAAATAATAACGATTGGCCCTTGAAATAGCAAATTGTTGCTTTCTAGTTTTTACGGATTAGTAATATTGTATGGAGTACACAGTACAAGTGCACATTTTTAGAGGAAACACTCGACAAAAATATGTACTCCGTAAGTATGTAAATTGACCAATTGTCGTGCAAAAGTGTATAACGGCATGCAATTAACACTAATTGAATATAACCCTACCATAATCAATTACGGAGTATCATTTCTAATTCTCTTTTTTTTAATCTATATGTCAAAGCTTCACACTAGTCATTAATGAAGGAATAAAAGTATGATTAAAATATAGTTAGGTGATTAGAGTAATTAAAAAGCAAGAACATTATGATTTAATGGTTATCATTACTTTTGCTCATTTTTTAATTATATTATGAATGTGCCAAAGCTTTTAGCTAGCGTAAAAAACAAACAAATTTAAGTATTTTGAAAAAGAATATAAATATTAATATTTTAATAATGCACCAAAAAATTCTACTTTTAGTATTGGATTACTCTCTTTACCAGTTTACCCTAGCTTTAGCTTAGCCACAAACAAGAGACAAACAAATCAAATCAATGGCATAAATGGAAATAAATAATATAGACGGAATTTAATTTCTGATACGAGTGTATTTTTACTGAATAACGACTTTTACCTTTGTCATGGACATCTCTTCATGCCAAAAAATAACTTAACAAGTAACGACATGAATTGGGATTCTCTCCAATAACTAACTGACCAAACGGTCTCGGTTAAAAACTTGGCGTAATCTCAATCAATCAATTTTTTTTTTTTTTTTCTAAAAATAACCTCGGTATCTAACCCAAACCCATCAACCTTTTTGACCCAAACCAAATCCGACCTTTTAAACAACTTAACCAATGCATCCACCCCAAGCAAATCATTAGCCGAATACTTATCCGACCGCGTCGTAATCGCGACGTGCAAAACACAAACCCCGCCGGGCTTCAACGTCCGCTCAATCTCCCGGACAAATTTCTGCGGGTAAAGCGCGTGATCAAACACATTCGAAAACTCGAAATCAAAGCTTTCATCTTTAAATGGCTGTTTATGAAAATCCCCGTGAATGACCAAAGGCGGACACGGCACGAGGTCAATACCAATGGAATCCGACACTCCAACACGTCGTAACGCCTCGACTTCTTGGCCGACTCGCGCGCCAATACAAAGCGCCTTGGATGAGTTTGAAAGTAGTGAAGAATTCTTTAATTGAGAGAAGAAACTCGAGAAAACTCGGATCTTACGGTCCCAATCTCGGGTGGTCCAAAGATGGCGGAGTTTGGGGTTGAGGGTTTTGTTGAGCTGTTTTTTGATGTAAGTGTCGTAGGTGGTGTATCCGGGTCGGATGCGAATACCTGGATTTGGTGTAGTTGTAATTGTTGCGGTGTTGGTGGTTTTGAGAGAGAATAGGAGGAGAAGAGGGAGGGAAAGGAACAGAGAAAAGGTAAAGAAACGGAGGAAAATTGGGGTTATTTGGTTGTATAGTTTCATATTTTTTGCATGGTGTTTTTGATTTTATTTTTTGTGAATTTAGTTTGTTCTATTTTCTCTCCTTTTTTTTTTAATTAATTTTCTCTCTCTTGGGGTGGTGGAGAGTGGAGAGAAAGAAGGGTTGAGGATGGAAATTTAAAGTGGAGGAGAAAGGGAAGTCAACTAATGGGAGGGGAGTTTGGTTTTATAAGCCAGGGTTGCCACTTGTTTGCTTTCTTCATGCATTATTTCACGTGGCGTGGTTATCAATCTTCCCTCTCTTTTTTGAAATCATATACAAATCTGACTAATTAATTATCGTTGTAATACAACAGGTGTACTACATCAATACATACATAAATTACTAATTGTACAGAGTATTATGTATCATGTATCAATGCTCAAAAGTAGAAAGTACATGTTATTTACTTATATTTACGGAATATACGTTAAATTAGACGATTAAAAAAAAAAGGTGAGCTAGTGTACTGTTCAATTTATCTTTTCTTATCAACTCTAAATTTGTTATACTTATGTTATCTTGGTTAGAGCTTATTAGGGTTCACCTAATTATATTACCATTTCTTATTTAAATTTATTTTATTGGACCTTATTATAGCTACCGAGTAGCTATTAACTATGTCTAGGTCATACTAACTTGTCATTCATATCTTAGTTGAAGTATAAACTTATCAATCCTATCTTCATTATCGACGCATCTTTTAATTAATTATCAGAAGTTCCGTAAAATTATATTCTATTTGATCTTATCTTAAATTCTTATTTGTACCTACGTGTATTAATCTTGAAATAAGTAAAAAAATAAAACTCAAAAGTACAGAGCTTGTAGACATAAAAAATCGCAAATTGATAGTGTAAACGCCAAATGTTCGGTGCAATTATAAAGAACTTACACAAATAATTAACCTAATGTTTTTCTGCATGCAAGAGGACTTAAATTAGTTAGGCACTTGTTGTGCCTTGTGGGCGTCGACCGCCGACAATCTCAACACAGTTGACAATACAATAAAATTGAATTATATATGAAAAATTAAATTATAAATAGCCTAATACTCCCTAATTAATAGTTGTAGTTCACTAGTTCAGCGAGTTTATAGGTAAAAATTATAATAAAATAAAGTTTACAAGATCTAGCATTGATTATTTAATCTATACTTAGTATTTAAAAAAGCAAACTAAAAAAGACATATGTCATCATTTTATTACACTCCCCTAACTTCTTCTTCAACCCAGCGTGCCACATGTCATTTTACCTTAATTATACAATTTTTCTAAACTCTTTCATTAAACACTTCATCTTCATCTCCCCTCTTTAATTCAACCTTTTTATTTTTTCTCTTTGATTTTAGTCCCTCCATCTTCTTTCTATTAAGTATCATTTCAAATTAAAGTCCCAAAATTTTTATTTCTTTAATTATGTTTTCAGTTACATATTACGCTCATAATTATTTATTGGTATTTCCTCACTCATCTCTCAATGTAGTTTTTTATGAACAAGCCGTGCATTGCACGGGACAGAAGGCTAGTTAGAATTAAATACCATAACCTTGTTTTGAAGTAAGTAATTTTATTGTTATTATAAAAATTTGATTCTTAGATCTTCCACAAATCTAAAACGAAGTTTCCAAACAAGATTTGAATGATCGATATTTGTTGAATGCAAATAAAGTACAATCGCTTGCTGAATGAGGGATTAATAGGTGAGGGATTGGACAATCGTACAAGCAAGTGTCTTATAATTATACTACTATTTTAAGATATGATGATCAATTTTGATTTTAGAATTTTTTTAATTGTAGTATAATCTCTAATTGATTGGCAACATGAATATGTTAGTTTATACTCTCTAATTCATAGGGAAGATAAAATATTATAGTACATCTGTTACATATTATGTGCAACAAAAACATCGACAAGGACTCCCAGACAAAATTTATATGTGAGTGGTAAATGAAGAGAGAAATATAAAAAAGCATGTGATGAGGAGAGAGATAGAGAGAAATGACAATTAATAAAAGGAAATAAAATTTTGTTGCAAATAAAGCGTAGCATCTATTTTTAGTAAATGTTGCACATAATATGAAACGGAGGTTGTATGAGTATTGAATTTTGATACTTGCATTGCTTGTACGATTATAGAAAACTTAGATTACAATTCAATGGACTAGATTAGCATTTTCTTGTATCGCTGCATTAGTTTTTATTGTAATTGTCAAATACAATCTTCATATATACATAATAGCTCATTTTATATAACAATATAGTTGCTATGCAATGTTTGTTTTTTAAAAGTAAAGAGAAAGACCTTGACCATACTTCACCCTCACCTTTTTTTTGGTTTGGTATTTGCGAGTTACACACTTTGAAATGAAGGGGGGAGAATAAAGGATTATTCCACCCGATCTCAAAGTACCTCTAATGGAGATTGAACTCCCAACACTTAAGATTGGAATGTACAATATAAATTTTCCCACTAGACTAAGGTCGTATTCTTTTAAGTTTCATTGTTTCAGCACAGAGTAAGGCAGATTTCAGCAAAGCAAAGTAGGTGTCAACAAAACAGATCGATTATTGAGTCAACAAAGCAGGCTCAGCACAACAGAATAGAGGGGCTCTAAAGAGCATGGCCTAGAGGTTTACTTGGTATATATAGGGATGTCAGTGGGGCGGGTCAAGTAGGAGACCTGCCCCATCCCCGCCCCATTCTCGGTTTGGCGGGTGGTGGGGCGGGGATGGGGATAAAAACCATACCCGCCATGGGTGATGGGACGGGGTGGATTTTAAGTTGTACCCGCCCCATCCCAACCTCATACCCACATCTATATATCTTTTAAAGCAAAATTACATACTTTTATTCTATTTATAAAATAATTACATGAAATACAATATTAATTATAATACTTTGTACGACACTTATATTATAACACAAAATTGTGCATAGAATGTTTTATTTTATAATTCGTATTAATTATGTAAGATTGTGTAATTGAGATACGGATATTAGGTGGATCTTGGGTGGGGATTAAGCGGGTCTTTGGTGGGGATTAGGTGGGGATGGATATCCAATTGGGGGGTGGGGTGGGGATGGTTTTGGAGTTGTACTCGGTGGGGTAGGGATGGGGATGAAAATTAGACCCGCCGCGGGGATGAGGATGAAAATATTAGGTGGGGACGGGGATGGAAAGACCAACATCCGCCCCGCCCCGCCCCATTGACATCCCTAGGTATATACAACCTAGATATGCAATAATGTATCAGTTTCTAATATCATGCCCAGTACATAATTTATACTACTTTTATAGATATATGAATGAGTCATTTGGATTGACAACCGTTGATTGGTTCTAATCCAATTCAATTCAAATTAAATCAAAATATGATGATAATTGACGTTGATAACAATTTTAATATTTTTTGAGTTTGCACTGAGTCGAATTGTTTTAATTTAGAGGTAAATTTTTCAATTGTAAAAAAAAATTACATGCTTTGGAAGCATACATGAAATTTATATGGCTTGTGCAGACCTAAAATTGTTAGAGATTAATGACACTAATCCACTATATAATGAAAGTTGAAAGCTAAATGCAAGCAAATCGGACTAATTTTGAGACGATTTTGTACACTTCCTCTGTTCCTTAATGTTTATTACTTCGTATATGTTTGTAATTTTTGTAAGGGATACATGTCAAAGATAAACAAACAAAAAGAAACACATAGAGTAGTTGGTAAGCATAATTAATTAAAATGGATTGTGTTTGTACGTGTGTGACTAGTTACATTGTGTGGCCGTTTGTAAAATAACCAAGTAAAATCCTGTAATGTTGATCAGGTAATTCCTTTTAGACTAACCGTGTTAAATACGAGTCTGGGTCGCACCCGTCACGGGAGAGTGCAAGTCCGCCACTTCACAAGAACAAGGAGGTTCCATCTCATATGTGCTTTATATTGTGGTGGTAACTCTTTAATTCTTTCAATGTGGGATTCTATTACCACTAAACTCCCTCTTTAGTGTGCAGTGAGACTTATGTGTTCGATTTTGATGTGTGAGTTTACTTGCATATATTGTTTGTCTATTTGATTTTAATGTTTTAATATGGCTTTATATAAGCCCCAATCGTGAGATCGTGGGTCTGACTCTGATACCATGTTAAATACGGGTCTGGGCGGCACCCCGTCACGAGAGAGTGCAAGTCCACCACTTTACAAGACCAAGGAGTTTCCGCCTCAAAATCATATGGCAATGAAGGGAGTAGCCCCTTAGCCTTATATTGTGGTGGTAACTCTTAAATTCTTTCAATGTGGGATTCCATTACCACTACATTCCCCCTTTAGTGTTTTAGTGTGGGACAAGAGAATGTTCACATGTGAGTTGTTCCTGGACTCAACAAACCAAATAACTTATTTAACACTGACGAAGTAACCATGATAACACTAATCAGGCTACCCCTTTAACACTGATTGAGGTAATATCGTCTTTAATTAACAATGACGAGATAACCCCTACAATACTACCCAAATAACAGTATAACACTAATGAAGTAATTTCTATGGTGACTGGTCACACGGTGTGACCAACCATGTATAAAAATTTATTATATCCCATAAATAATTAACCTGTAGAAATCCTCCAAATGTAAGTGGTTTTTAGTGAATTTGTAGGTCTTGTAGCTTACCAACTTTTTCTTCATCATCATGCTCTCGTAAGGGTGATTTTGTCCCTAATTATTGAGCTAATTTAATAAAATCATCAACACAATTAAAATTTAAATAGAGCTAAAAGGTGAGCGACACATTAAGAGAGTTAAACGTAAACACTTGGCCACCTTTGGTCGGTACTAGTTAGTGGTTACATTATACCCATAGCATGTTTCAAAAGTTGTTAATTCAATTTTGGAATAAATGAAACTCCGTAAAATTAATTAATATAATTAATTATGTATTAGCTCGCAACAAATTGAATTGCCGATCGAATTGGTTGTACGTAGCCACGTAGGAATAATAATGGTTGTACAATTAGTGGATTGGTTGTTGACTTTAGTTTAGAGCAAGTATTTATCAATTATAGATGCTAACAAAGCACCTAACATCTTGAAATATATATAGTCTTCAAACATAAGGTCTTAGTGATTTACTAATTGTACGTGTAGTATGTAGGAATGTTATTACTTAATACTTAAATTAGGGGCCGAAATTATAGTTGTAGACACATTTATCTTATTTATTAAAAATTTATGTACATCAAATTTAAGCAATAAATTTCATTAAGAGTACATATACAATACTTTATTTTTATTACAACATCTGACTAAATGATCCCCACCTTTAATTTGCACTTGCACTTGCACCTCTTTTTACATCAGGAATTAACGATGCATATCTTTATTATATCTAATCAATAGTCTCAAAAGCTAGGATATATATATGGAAGCTTCACCCAACTGCCGTGTTAGTGTCGGATACCATGTCAGACACTAACACTTGTAGACACACGACAATACGTCTCAAAATCGTACCCTATTATGATATTTGGTTATGGTTTGTGACATGCCACCTTATCTTTTTCAACTTTTTTTTTAATGAAGAAATATAAGTAAAGTAAGATAAATATATAAGGTAATAGCTCAATAATATGGGTGCCTTCATACATATAGTGTGATCTAGTGAGCGGACACAAAAAAAAAAGCTATATATATATATTATATTCAAATTCTTTTTAAAAATGTATTACATGAATTTTAACATATATATCGTATCCGTAGCCCTTATTTTGAGATAGACATTTTCCCATACTTGTGATAGTATTCATTCTTGTGCAACCTGACTCGATCAAAAGTCAAAACTTATTACACAAATGCAAAGTCAGTCAATCATACTATGATAATCATAATTTATAAGAATGAGTTAGCTTAAACCGTTGCTTGAGAATTCACCTAAATTTTCTCTTTGTATAAAACACCAACAATATGAATTGTGGGCGCGACTACTTCAAACCAAGATACTCAGTAACATTTTAGAATAAGTAAAGCAACGAAAACACACAATCCTTTCCCTCCTCCCCAATTAAGTGGAAATGTTAATGAGATAACTTTAAATAGACAAAATATTCAATTTAAGATATTTGTCCACTATTAAAAAATTGTTCCTAGACCTCTCTTCCTCAAAAAGTCTTAGTATAAATTATTACTAGTATGATTTAAGTGCAAATCAAAGCTTCTTCTTCCTACGAATATATACGATTGAGGGTCCCATACATAGATTATATTGTATAATGTCTCATGATTAATTTATAGAATAAACTCAAGATAAGCACTTATCTAGGAATATATTAGAGGTGCACTAATATAATTATAATATATTTTTTTAACTTTATCAAAAGTGCTTTAGGAAAATGATTTTTCTGGATTTTTCTAACTTTTCCGAATTAATTTAAGCACATTGAGGGGTTATTGTGTTCATTCGAAGTTGGCATATTTTCGGCTTGTTTGATGGTGGTGTGGAAGTATATTACAAGTTATGCCTTCGCAATCTCCCACTTTAATTGAGAAACCTATGGTCCACATAATTATTAGTCCATCCGTTTAATAAGAATTGCAATACTAGTATTGCGTAATATTTTAAGAGAATTATAAGATAGGAAAGATAAAGATCAAAATAAAAACAAATTTTATATATAGTAATATTTTTTGAGAGAATATACAGTAATATAAAGTATAGTTAGTAGAGAAATATTTATTTATTTATTTATTTATTTTTGACAAGAGAGATATATTTAATAGTTACTCCATCCAGTGGAAAATCTAAAAAAAATTTAAATTATAGTACAACCCAAATAGATATGGATCACATTGATTAATATTAATGTTTCAATATTTTGTGATTTTCTTAGGGCTTGTTTGACATTATTTTTGGTTTTCAGTTTTGTGTTTTTTTGAAAACCAAAAACAGCAAACAAGAAAAAGGTGTTTCCACTTTTAAAATTATTATAATTTTAATATGTTTAAATAAATTTTTATTCATTATGGGACATATATCATTCACTTTTAAAAAACAAAAAACCAAAAAACAGAAAACCACAGCAATGCCAAACGAACCCTTACTTTTTAGTCTACATTTAGCATGTAAGTTCATATACATCCTCCGTTCATTTAACACTGCAACATGAGGATAATTACGCTTCTCAAAGCACAATTTAACCCTTAAAAAACTTTAATTATATAATAATAACAATAATAGTAACAAAATAATAAAGAAGAGTCTAACAAAATATAAAGTGGCTATTTTTCTTTACAATACTATCTTTTAAAGATTAATGGGGTAATTTATAGTCAAAGTTTTTTTACCTAAAAATAATCACAATATGTGGTTACAAAAGAGTGTGAATAGTGTATAAAGTGCAAATGTTGCAATGTTTAAAAAACGGAAATATGTATAAAAATGAAAATAATATATCATTTACCATTTTATATGGAGAAAAAATATGATTTTTTTATAACTTAAGAATTTCTATTGTTTGATTTTATCTTTTAGGAATCAATTTACTTAAAATGGGAGAGCAAAAACTAGTATATGTAATAGATTCTTTTTTAACTTACCTTAAATAAATTCATAAATATTTTGCAAAATGGGGATGCAAGTGCTCCCCTTCAAGTCCTTATAGATCCGCCTATGACTCCATCTATGTACTAGTTCAGTCCACATAATTATTAGTCCATCCATATACTAATTCAGTAATTTGATCTAAATTTCATCTAACTCAAATGAGTCACTCCAAATTAAACTTGAATTGTGTTTGATTTAATTTTAAATCAATTTTTTTATTAAAAAAATAAATTAAATTGCAATCTTATTGTATCTTGTATGGCTTATAATTAAAATGTCGAAAATTTTTGTATTATAAATTGAATGGAAATGCATGCAGTTAATTATCTTCATTATGCGCTTCATTTGTGTGTAAGTGTAATGAATCTCATGCCTTTACTATTGTTGGAAAACTGGACACTTATAACTGAAACACTTAATGGGCCAGTATGAACCTTTTTGGGCTGGATCGAAAAACCACTTTGTCCAAAATCCAATAGCGTTGGCAGCCAGAGGTTCGGTTCAACTTTTATTGTGCTGTACAGTACTTCCAATTGGTCTAAGGTTGTGCACCTTAGATAGGTGTAACAGCAGTCCAATTACCCCCCAACCCAATTAAAAAAGGCCCTAAAACTAAAAACATGGTAATTACAAAACAATTGGCCCTAAAACACGGAAAATTCAATACCCCCACCCACATTGAAGTAACGTCACTTCTATTCAAACCTTTCTTCTGCTCTCTTATTTTCTCTCTCCTCTAGTTCATATTCTCTCACTAAAAATCTGGAAAAATCACAATGGACCTAAGAGATGAAATGCAAAATCAGAAGGATCATCCAAAGAAGAGGTATATTTGCACTGAATTTTGCCCGAAATTTACATTTTTTTAGTGAATTTTCATCTGAATCATTCGAAACTCTGTTTTTCGAAATTCAATTTTTCGAAACTATGAAATTTGTGTTAGATTATATGAAAAATTGTTTAGATTAGTTTGTTACATTTTTTTCTCTTTTCTTTGTAAAAAATTGTTTAGATTAATTGTTGTTTGTGGGTGAATTCATAAACTAACGCATGTAATTCAATTATTTTTGTAGAAAAACAAAAAATGCTTCAAAATCTACTGGAAATCAAGAAGATATGTAAGTTTAGATGTTTATTTTTTTATTGCTATTTCTATAAATTAAAATTTCATTGTGGTGTTAAATTGTAATTATTAATATAAATTGTTGATAGAAACCCTAATTTTCTTGAATAGGCCGCTAAATAAAATGTTTGGCACCAAAAAGAAGAAAGTGGCAAAGAGTCCTACTGTAGATCCGAAATTACTCAATGAGATTTCGAAACAAGTTGTTGAAGAAGAGGAAAATCAAAACAACAGGTATATTCATTTTTTTTTATTTTAGTGAATTTTCATGTTTTGATCCTAATTTTCATGTTTGTTGTTGTTTGGTGGATTTTATGGTGAATTTTGTCCGAAATTCAGTGCAAATATTTGTATTTTTAAGTGAATTTTGTCCGAAATTAAGTGCAAATGTTTATATTTTTTGGTGAATTTTTTAGTGAATTATGTCTGAAATTTTGTACGAAAATTAAAATTCAAAACAATGTTTGTATATTTTAGTGAATTTGAATTTATGTTGGTATTTTTTGTTGATTTCTTGAGGAGGGAGATGAAGTATGGAACAGGGGAGTGTTGGTGAGTGGTTGGAGTGGTGTAGGATTAGGAGTTGTGGGGTGTAGGATAAAAGAGCGGGAAAAAGGGTAGCAAAATATGCAATGAATAATATATTTGGAATAGTGATGTTCATGTTTGAGAACACTATATTCACAACATTTATAATATATGAACTAAAGGCACACTATATTCACAAAATATGCACTGAATTATAACTCCATGTAATTGCTTCTTATTATGCATTCATAATATATGAACTAAAGGCACATTATAGTACATGTCAGAATCGGAAAGATTAAGAACAAGTTACTCATATAAAATATGCCCATGAATGTGCTTCTCGATCTTTGTCTTTCATTGGCTACAAACTCTTCAAAATCCCTACCAAAACATCAGTTTCCACCAATCAAATGTCCAATATCACTTTGTTGTTGCATGTTTTAGTAGTTATGTGATCACTCCTTGTTTTATATTTTTACTAGAAATTATGTATAACCTCTCCACAAAGACTGGTAGGTTAAGATTCAAATGCATGTCGACCCTTCATCAAATGAATTTGATAGATTTAAAGAAATGAAGTTACCTCATAAAGCTCACTGTTTTACACAATTTTTTCTCATGAGTTAACGATGAAGTCGAACCACCAAAAGAAGGAGAAAAACAACCACAAGAACGATCAAAAGATGCAAGAAAAGAAGGGGAAAAACAACCAGAAAAACCTTCTAAAGAAGCACAAAAGGTTCAATCAAAAGCAACAGAGTTACCAAAAAAAAAAGGTATGAAATGCTTATGTTCACATTGTAAATATATATATATATATATATATATATATATATATATATATATTCATATTCAGTTATGTTATAGGGATATTCATTATTTTTATGCGTATATTCATTAGTTTTATACATATATTCATTTTTTGAAGTATGGAACAGGGGAGTGTTGGTGAGTTAGTGGAGTGGTGTGGGATTAGGAGTTGTGGGGTGTAGGATAAAAGAGCGGGAAAAAGGGTAGCAACTTATTCACAACATGTTTCATGTTCATGTTTGAGAACACTATATTCACAGCATGTTGCATGTTCACGTTTTAAAATGCATAATCCAAAGGAAGCAATGCTTATATTCATTATTTATATGCATATATTCATTATTTGTATACTTATATTCATTTTTTGAGTGGTTATGTTCATGTTCATTGATTGGTATGTTCATATTTTGAATGGTTATGTTCACATTTGAAATAGCATATGTTCATATGTTCACCTTACAAGTAATGCATATAAACATGAGCCTATACTTTCAATACAACTTATTTTCACTTTCTATATGCATATGTTCACTTTATATAAATTATATATTCATTTTTTTAAACTTTACATTTATTCTATTAGGGTGAAGCATATTGCAACAAAAAAGAAATCATCAAACAACTGTTCGGAAGCCTCCTCAAGCAAGAGTAGAACAAGCAAAACTCAAAGACACAAAAAAACAATGAGAAAGATGGAGGTGAGAAAGAAAAGGAAGCTCTGAAAACTGAAAAAGTTAAGGTGGAGAAGGGGAAACAAAGTGAGAAAGTTGATGGTGTAAAAAATGAGAAAGCACATAAAAAAAGAAAGAGAGATGCAAATGAAGATGTACATGAGGTGGTAAAACTTGATGATGCTGAAGATTTGGATGATTATGGTAAGTTGCAAGTGAGGGTTGGGCATTTCAAATTCATGACATTTGCATCAAATTTGAGCCTTTCTCAAAAGCAAGCAATTATTGACATGGGATTTGGAGCTTTACTCGATGTAAATCTTCCACAAAATGACCAATCATTTTCTGCTTGGCTTATGCATTGTTTCAAAGAGAATAGCCGCACACTTTATCTTCCGTACAACAAATCTATTGTTGTTTGTGAAGATGTTGAAGTTGTGTATGGAATCCCGAGAGGGGAGAAAGAAGTGAAGGAGGTAGAAGATGAGGAACAAGAAGAGACTCCTTTGACTAGATGGAGGAAAGATTGGGGTGTTGTGTCTGGTAGCCCTAAAACACACAATGTTCTGAAGAAGTCTGAGGAAGAAAAAGAGAAAAAGATGGAAATCATGAAAGCAAAGATGAACAGAAGGAAACTGGAAATGAACACAGAACCTGCAAAAGTGAACAATGGTGAAGTTGATGAAATCTTCATTATCTATTTCATTGTGTTGGCTGTAAATTGCTTCATGAAAAGCAGCCAAAGCATACACTTGCACTACAAGTTTCTGTTCTCAATTAAGAATGTGTTTGAAATCAAGGAATACAATTGGTGCAAGTATGTCCTTGATAGCTTAATGGATACAAGCAGTTCTTGGAAATTGAATCCAAAAGGGTTTTACAAAGGACCTTTGCCTTTTCTTCTGGTATATGCCATTATTTTCATTTCCATATATACTATGTTCATATTTTTATTATATTCATTATTTTTATGCGTATATTCATTATTTTTTATGCGTATATTCATTATTTGAATGGTTATGTTCATGTTCATTGATAGGTATGTTCATATTTTGTATGTTCATGTTCATGGAGAATATTCATGTTCATATTTTGTATACATATATTCATATTTGGAATGGATATGTTCATGCGTATATTCATGTTCATATTTTGGTATGTTCAGATTTTGTATACAGGTAATGCATATAAACATGAGCCTATAAATTCAATACAACTTATTTTCACTTTCTATATGCATATGTTCACTTTATGTAATTTATATATTCATTTTTTTAACTTTACATTCATTTTATTATATATGCTAATTGATGATTTTTTTTTTCTGTATTTTTTTTTTCAGTTGTTTTACTTTGATCGCATTCAAAAGTAAAACATCATGCCACCAAGAACTCCTCCTATCATATCTGTATGAACAAAGGATATGGTGGTCTAAAGGATGAAGTTGGAGAGCCATGGAGTTGGATTGGGTAATATTTTGCCTAGAGTTGAAATCAAAAGGAAAACAACACAAGAAGAATGTACTAATATACCAATGGCCAAGGTTTGATTAGAAAATTTACCTATATTATTGAATGTTTATTATTTTTATTTATAATGTTCATATCTAGTTTGATCTAAGTTATGTATAGTTTTACAAACCTATTTCTTTGGCTTTGGCTGATTTAGTCATTGTTCTGTTTCGTCTATCTTCATTGATATGTTTTGGTCTATCTTCATTGATCTGTTTTTGAATGCTTATTTTTAATCTAGTTTGGTATTAGTTACAATATTTCATTTTTCTAAGCACTTGGTGCCATCTATTTGTTTAATGCTAGTAGACATTAGTATTGTTGGTGTTATTGGCTCAATTGATGGGTGTCCATCTGTGTTCAAAATTGCACAGGAATAGTCAGTAATAGCCTCTAGAGCTATTGCACCTCCCTGTCCTTCCAATAGTTTCACCACCATTGACATGACAGGACGTCGAGTTGGCTCTGTATGCAAACACCACAATGCAATTTTTATAATCTTCTCAACGTCTTCAGCATTTTGCCTTGTATCCTCATTGCATTCGTTTAGTAGATCAAACAACTGGCACTCCTCAACCTTTTGGATGAGAGTGCTTTCCTTCATTGATATGTTTTGGTCTATCTTCATTGATCTGTTTTTGAATGCTTATTTTTAATCTAGTTTGGTCATATTTCATTGATATGTTTTGGTCTATCTTCATTGAACTTAGGAACATGTTCATACTTTGCATGATTATGTTCACTTTATTTTATTTGTATATTCACTTTTTAATGCGTATATTTTATAATGATATTATCTTTTATTTCTTTATATTTTAATTTCATATTTGAAGGCATTATATTCATAATGTCTGTTATGTATGTTCATTCTGTAGGAGGAATTTATGGAAGAGTTTATTAGTGTGGTCAGAATTATGGGTGGGAATTGTGAAAAATTGTGTGAAATGATAAAGCATGCTGAAGAGCTTTTCCCAAATAATCTTCTTTACAAAACAGTGGGAGATTATATGCAAAAGAAATTTAAGGATCCTTCAAATCCTTCAATTTTGAGTCTAGATGAAGAATTATTTGGAACAGATTCTTTCTTGAATGCTTTAGACAAGGTTGAAAAGGAGTATTTGGAGAAAGTACAAGCTGAAAAGAAAGCAAGAGAAAGAAGAGGCAAAGAGGAAGAAGAAAGTAAGAGAGTCATTCGATCCACAAAATGCTTAGAATTTAGGGATCGACAAAGAACAAACTCCTAGTCCAATGGTTCATCCAACTGAGACACAAATTGGACAAAACATTGATTTGAACCTCGGGGCTAGGTATGGGAGGGTCAAGTAGTGCAGGTGTGGAGCAGGAGCAACCGGTGATTGAAGCATCGGAATTTGATCATATGTTCAAAACTCAAGACCCTACATTTGAGGACATTTTGAACAACCCATTGAATCCAGAATTTCAATATGCAGGGTAATGTGACTCCTAACTATGATATATATTTTGTAATAAGTAGCTAAGGCAGTCTATGTAATGTAAAGAGAAAACTAATGTTAATTTTTTGGATGAACAAACTAGAAAAAGTAATGTAAATTTTTTTGACATCGAAAATTATTATATATTCTATGAAACTTATAAATTATATTATGAAAATATTGTTTTTCTATATATATTCATCTATTATTGTTTGATATTCATTTTGTTTTATATTCTGTTCATCTATTGACAGATCTAAAGGAGAATCGAAAAATCCAGGGTAAAAAAATGGAAAAAAACTTATGTTCATTTATATTAAACAATTGTTCATTTATATTCACATATTGATCACTTTTACTTATTATCTGTGTTTTGCAGAAATGTGTCAAAGGACAAAACAGCAAGGTGAATAAAAAAAATAAAAAAAAACCCGTTTACATAATTTTGACCTTTTATAAACTAACAATGTTATTTTATGTAGGGCTGGCAAAAGCTGACCCAACCCGACAACCCGACCCAAACCCAACCCGAAATAAATGGGTTTTGAAAGAGATTTTCAACCCGTTTATGTAATTGGGTCAACCTGAACCCGACCTGAAGTTAAATGGGTCGGGTGCAGGTTGGAAATCCCAACCCGAAACCAACCCGCCTAAACCCATTTAATTAATTGGGTTGGTTTCAGGTCGGGTCAACCCGAACCTAACCCACCTAAACCTGTTTACCAGCCCTAATTTTAGTTATTTACACCCTAACTTTTAAATATGGGCTAAGCCCAAATATCTAACCACAAAAATGAAAAACCCTAAGCTTTGTTCTTTATTCACGCCGCTTCCCCAATTCCCCTCTTTCACTCATTCTCTCTCCTCTCTCTCTCTTTCATCTCTCTTCTCTCTTGTTTTCATATTTTTTTCCATGAAAATTGTTTATTAAAGCTTGTGAATCTTCATCTCAACATTGTCAAAGGTAATTTGCTTGCTAATTAATTCTCTTTACTTAATTGTTCTGTTTTTTTATGCATTTTAGCTTAGTTCTTCAATTTCATCTCAACATTAGTTTGTTTTTATGTGTTTACTTGTTTGCGATTTAATTTCTTCGATTTACTTTTTTCTGATTTAAGCTCGTTTGTTATGAGTGCGTTTTGTGCATGCGGTTTTTTCACCATCTGATTATGAGTGAGATTACTTGTTTTTACAACTGTTTTTTATGAGTTTATGAGTGAGATAAGTGATTTTTTGCTAAGTCTGCATTTGGCATTTAGTATTTTGATAAAGTTAGCCTATTATTTATCTAATTAACTAATGTATTCTTAATTAACAGATGGTTGATACTTGATTGTCCTCTTCCTCCTTTACCCGTTGAACTTGCTGGTTATGAAGAATCAGATGATGAAGTTACTAATTGGCAAATATTGAATTTCTGTTATATGTATTTTGGAACTCTTGGAACTTTTTAGTGTTGTATAATTGTACTATAAACTATGCAGCAAGTGGCTTTGAATTTGCATTTTACATTTTTGTATGTTGTTCAATATTTCAGGTTAATTTTTGAAAAATAATTATATTTTTATTTTTAAAAATTACAAGATTAGTTAAAAAGATTACAGGTTAAAAAAAATAACAAGGTTAATCAATTTTTTTTTTTTAAATAAAAAAACAGGTTAAGACGGGTTGGGTTCAGGTCAACCCGCTTAAAACCAGGTCGAGTTCGGATTGAATTTTCTGACCTGTTTAAGTAAACAGGTCGGGTTCAGGTTGGGGGTGACCTGTTTATGTAAACAGGTCAACCTGAACCCGACACGACCCGACTTGTTTGCCAGCCCTAATTTTATGTAGTGAAATTGAAATTGGCAAACGACCTATAAGACAAGTTCACAATTTCTTGCTCGTCTCAAATCACCATTCATGGTAAAATACAAAGATTTATTCAAGGATGTGAATGCAATGAATGCAACAATTTCTGACTATGCATTCAATGATGGTCCTAACAAGTAAGTTGCTCATTATTATATTACTTGTTCATAAAATAATATGTTTTGTTCATTTTTATTGTTCATTTTTTTTAAAATGGATTGTTTTGTTTGTTTACTGCGTGTGAAGTGAGGTGATGTACTTTGATGGAGAAACTAGTATTAACAGATCTCAAATGAAGACACTAGGCACAGATGAAGAAATTGACAATTCCATTATTGATGCTTGGGCTACAATTTTAAATTACAAGTGTCGAAAAAACAGCATTTACTTTAGCACAATTCCTTATGTAAGTTCATATAAGAACTAGAAATTCATTAATATTTTATTAAGCGTTCATATATATTTGATGTTCTTTAATATTTTATTATAAGTTTATATATTAGAACTAGAAGTTCATTAATATTTTATTAAAAGTTCATATATAGGTACTTATTTATATATGTTTTTTATTTATATGCAGGTGATAGTGTGCACAGACCACATTGTTAAGAAAAAGGGTGACATGAAAAAAAGAATTTCAAAATTCATTTCCAGACTTCAAATTGAAATGAAAAACAACGATATCAAAAAAATAAAAGAAGTCAAACAATTCTTTTTCCCGGTGTCAGCATTTAACCACGTCTACTTGGTTTGCTTCAACATGTATAATGCCACTGTTGATATGATTGATAACAGAAAGCTTCCCATGAATATGAAAGCAAAAGACAAATACGGTACCTCTCCCATAAAAATGGTAAATATTAAATACTCATCTTTTTTCATTTGAACTTTCTGTGAATTTCACTAATTTATTTCTAATGTTCATTTCCTTATAACTAACTATTGAATGTGTATTTTCAAAATTAGCTTGAAGCTTTTATAGGGTTTTTGAAAAGCCAAAATTACAATGAAAAACAACTGGATGAAATAAAAGCTTTCAAGCCTAACTTGATAAAAATGAATTGGAGGAGCAATTGGGACCATAAGAATTGTGGTGTTTATTTGTTGAAGCATATGGAAACATTCACATCAGAACCTTTAGTAGAATGGGTTTGTGATCTGATAGCCGATAATGTAAGGTTTCAACTCCTTTAAAATTCAATTTACAACTATGTTCATTGATATAGAGTGTTTGTTCATATTTTAAATATCTATGTTCATACGTTTTTCCAGATTGATCAAATCAGAAAGCTAAGAGTGAAGTATTGTGCTGAGATATTACTAATCAATACCAACAGAGAAGCATACAGAATAAAGATGGCTGCAAGACGAAGGATGGAAGAATCAAATTAATTTTTATAGTTAATAACTTTGCAAAGACAACTTACTTTAATAGTTGTGGATTCCTTTTATGACTTGAAACATCAGTTTGCATTATATTTTGCATTTAAATTTGAAATTTCTCTCATTATTATATATTGGTAGATCACTTATATAATGCTAATTGATCATCTTTCTTATAAAAAATCAGTAAATTAATTCTTGGAAATCAAAAACATTTATAAAATGAAAATAAGTAATAATTTGTTTTGTTACAACTTTTAGGCAATTGAATAAATTGTCAATTATTAAAAAATCTAAACATTGATTGTCTTATCAAACATGGATAACATTTCATTATATTGTGAAACATTTGAAGATCCACCAACTTCACTCCCTTCATTTGTAGCATTGCGCCCAACATCAAAATACTAAAAAAAAAAGATAAAATAAAAAACAATTACAAAAACACATAAGCTCAAAAATAAAAAGCAAATGTTCATAAACGTAACTAGGTTGTTCAGATTTACCTGATACCATTTGTTGTTCTCATAATGAAAACTTCCTTTTTTAGCTTGATATCCAAATTGACTTGATGAAGAAGGTTTACTCGTATTAGTGTTTTTCTTTGAGGGTTGTCGTCCATTACCCTGTAAATTAAAAAAAATGATCAAATGGTATTGCATAAAATTCATATTAATAAACTTTAAGTTCACATAAATAATTAATTTTGAGAATTAAGTCTGAGAAGCATTAGTTGAGGTATTAGTGTTATTCTTTGAAGATTTTTGTCCAATACGCTGTAAAATAAATGTTCAGGTTCTGTAGCATAAAATTCATATAATTAAGCATAAAATTCAAATAAATGATTACCTGTGAATTGTAAGTATTTTCCCTTGATGAAGTTTAAGAATCATTTGCTGGTACTTTTCTCTTTTTACTGGCACCTTGAACACCCTAAAAATATTATAAAACATTAATAATAGAATACTATTCTTTCAAAAACAAAAATAATAGAATACTAATATAATTGAAAGTATTTTAAAAATTACCATTGATGATTGCCCATTCATTTGTTTTGGAAGGACATTAAGACTTGAATCTTTTGTTGTTGGGTGTGAATAAGTCAAAGGATCACCATCATCATCTAAAACCTGCAATATAAAACACAAATATAGATATGTTCATATCCCATACAAAAGTATTCACTTAACTACACAAAAAATTCATAAAAATACCTGAAAAACCTTTTGAACAGTAGCTTTAACTTCATCCTTGTATTTATCTACTTTTTTCTTCCACCCCTTGGCCTTATTACAAGCTTTTTCAATAGTGCTCTTTGGCCTATCATTCCTTTCACCCTTTTTCCTAATTACTTTCGGATTTTGAATAGGTTGTGCATCATTTTCAACCTCTTGAACCTCTTCTTCCTCATCAAAATCAATTGGCCCTCTAACACTCTCAACCTTCTCCCTTAACATTTCAAATGTATATTCAATTTCAACTCGTGCTTCAAGGTGATCTTGGCAAGATGTAACAAGTTGAATAAACTTTCTTAACATATGAGCTCTCCAAATAGAAGAAGAAATCACATTCTCTTGAACAACATCTCCATCAACCACATGACTACACATCGCGGTTTTAGTCCATCTCTTAACTATGTATTCTTCGGGTATCTTTTGAACACAATGAATGTTGTAAATACGAAGGGAATGTGAACACAATAAACCCATTTCACTCCAATACTTACATGTACAATTGATTACCCTAGTGAATTTATTTAAAAAAACCTCATGCCTAATAATATCCTTATTAGGCCTCCATACCAAGTAACTAATTGTCTCATCATTTTCATACTTTCTCTCTTGAGAACAAGAAATAGCTTTTGCAAATTGATCTTCAAAGACAATATAAACCGAAATTGTATAAACCTCTCTAGCATGAATAAGAAGACTTACATTAGCAACCGCCAAATGACGATTACCTCTCAAAAACCGAAAGTCCTGCTTACTTTCCTTACTCCTCCACTCAGCCACAACATCAAGAAAAGTCTTGTAAAAATCACACAACCCATTCGTCTTCCTCAATCTATGAGAAATCGAACGGTTTGTGGTTTCACTCCTTTGGGAACTCAAAACTCCTCCGGAAAAATATGCTTTAGAATAGGCTGGACACCATCTTTCTTTTATCGAGTACAAATGATTTAACCAATCATTATCATTACAATTGTACTTGTTCATCATCCTAGCATAAGAAAGTTCACTTTAATAAACATTATATTCATATATTACATATTTATGTTCATAATATATTTATATATGTTCATAAAAATGTTTATGACGTTCATAAGAATAACAACAAACAAAACAACCAGTATACAGGTTCATAATAAATCATCAAATTCATAAAAACACATATTCATAAAATAAACCTATAAATTCATAAAATATCTAATTATGATCATATACAATGATAAACATGTTCATATAAATAACAATGAGCAACAACAAAATTAAAGATAATTATATTAAAACATATGTTCATGATTTTAAATCATAAATTCAATGTTTCATATAGAAAGTTCATAATGATGTACCAGAATAACAACACACAAAATAACCAGTATACAAGTTCATACTATAACAACAAATTCATAAAAACACAAATTCATAAAATAAACTTATAAATGCATAAAATATCTAAATGTGATCATAAATAATAATAAACATGTTCATATAAATAACAATGAGCAACAACAAAATTAAAGATAATTAAATTAAAACATAGGTTCATGTTTTAATGTAATAAATTCATTGTTTCATAAAGAAAGTTCATAATGAAGTACCTTGGCCAATAATGTTCGAATTCAGCAGTAGTTTCACAGTACTTGAGCAGATAATCAAAAAGATCAGTGAACTCCTTCAAAACTCTGAATTTACCGATATTTGTTTTTGAGTTCTCCGTAAGATGCCATGTACACAGACGATGTCTAGAATTTGGGAAAACTTCTCTTATACCAGCTGCAATAGAAGGTGCTTGGTTTGTCATTATAGTAATCGGATGACGCCCACCACCCATTGATCTCATGAAAGACTCAAACAACCATATGAAACTGCTTGTTTACTCATCTAGAACAAATCCCATCCCAAACATGACATTGTTACAATGGTGATTCATACCAACAAAAGGGGCACATATCATGCCATACTTGTTTGTTCTATAAGTAGTGTCAAAAACCATCAAATCACCAAAGTGTTCATAATCCCTTTTCATTCTTCCATCTCTCCAAAAAACACAAGTAAGGGAATTTCCTTCATCTACCTCAAACTCATAATAGAAATCAGCTTCCTTTGCTTGCCTTTGAGCAAAATACTTGATCAATTGATTACAATCCGAGCCATCAAGTCTATTGGCCTTTTCAGTAGTCAAAGCATTGTATATATCCTTTCGAGTACACCCAAGATTCAGCGAACCACCAACTTCTTTGGACAAAAGACGTAGTGAATCAGTTACCCTAACACCACTTGCCTTCATTACACTTATGTATTTCAATTGCTCTTTATTCACATTTCTTTGAGACCTTAACAAATGTCTTTTGTCAATTGGTATAAAAGGATGATTATGTTCCATCTGATGATCCACAACAGTCCATACACCTAGATCAATAATAAACTCCACAAAAGCGCCACAATTTGTACGAAAATCTAACTTCTCAAACTTCCTCACATGCCTCTTAGAGTCATTCTTCAAACTAGCACGTGAACATACATATCTCCTACTTCGCCAAACAGATGTCTTACCAACTGTTCTTACATTTCCCTTCCTTATACTAAAACCAATCTTAAAAGCATAATCATTGTACAAATTATATGCTTCATCATCACTAGTTACTGTTTTCTTCATTAATTCAGATTCTTTAGCTTCTGTGTATATAGTTTCAACTACAGTATCTGAAATAAATAACACTAAATGTTCATAATGTATAATAAGTAAATTCATAAAAATGTAAAGAATATTCATTAGACACCTAAAAGAATACAAATAAAATATTCAATATCAAATGTAATGTTCATTATTTAAGACTCAATTATCATCATTTAATAGACAATGTTCATTATTTAATAAACAATGTTTATAAGTTCATAATTTTTAAATGTAGTGTTCATTATTTAAGAATAAAAGTTAATGTGTAATAAACAATGTTCATAGCTTCATAATTATAAATGTAATGTTCATTAGTTAAGAGACAATATTCAGAATAAATTATAAATTACGAAAATCGTAACAACAAACAATTGCAGCACGCAATAAGAAACAATTAATCACAGTAATCACACAAAAATCAAGATTAGCGCAAAATCAAGACATAATTATACGAACAAAAATCAATTGATTTTATTATTAATTCATCAAAAATATCACATTCATCAAAATTATACGATCAATTTCAGTAAATCAAGACATAATCTATAAAATTAATATAAACCATAAAAATATATACGTAAAATTGATTGAAAAAATGCAGAAAATCATATAAAATTCAATTCATAATAATTAAGAAAACCGTATAAAACCTAATCAATCAAAATTGATTAATCAGCTCATAAGAAATCAAAATTTATACATAATACATCAAATTGATCGAACATAACCAAAAATCAGATGAAATTGAATAACTAATCAATCGAAACTAATCGTAGCTAACCTAAAATCATACAAAACACAATTACAATTGAAACTAACAAAAAAAAAATCTAATTACAAATCGCAAAATCAAGCAACTAATCTGCATTGACGATGTCTTCGTTGAGAACAACCAATTCCATATTTATCCAATCGAAACAGATGCAATCGCAAAACAGAGGATAATTTTTCCAGAAAAAACAGAGAAAAAAGCAATTAAAGAAGGAGAAAAAACATAGAATAATTTTTCCAGAAAAAAATAGAGAACAAACTATAGTAATAAAATTTTTTATGGAAAACTTTGATGAGAATTAGGAAATATAGGAGAAGAGAGAGAATTGGAAAAGAAGAAACCAAATTTTTTTAAAAAGGAAACTAAAAAACGTGAGCGGGAAGAAAGACATTAGAGAACACTAAATAGACGTTGCGTTTCACATTGGTTCTCCTGCGTTTTGAGCAAGTGCACCTACCTCTAGGTTTAGGAAATATGTGCAGTACCTCTATTAGGGAAGAAATTACTCACGGAGTTTAAATGAACCAAGAACTTGACTCAATCTATACTAAAACCTGAAAATGCCTTCAAAATTGTGTTCTTATTTGGTGAACTCGAGGGATGCTACGATCGATCATTCACCTAATAGGGACTTTCGTGTGCTTGTGTGCACGAAGATGAGTAAACATCCCGGGACTGTCGTGTACTCGTGTGCTTGTGTGCAGGAAAAATGAGTAAACATGCATCCAGGGACTTTCGTGTGCTTGTGTGCACGAAGATGAGTAAACATATATTGCTCGTGTATCTCAAGCGTTGATGCATGCATTCTCAAGCACCATTTTTGGCATTTTACTTGTAGATGTACTAGTGTACTTGTTTGTGAACGCACATAGCTATCTATGTACAAACTTCATCAACGAATGAAATCCATTATGTAAATTACTTGTTAGGAAAAAAGTTTGCAATCATACAAATTCTATATAATATTAATGGGAAAATTCAAATAATCTATCTTAGACTCAACTGTCACACTCTCAATAGATTAAAACATTGCAATTCATCGACAATTAATTTATTCCCTTAAAACTCCCGTTTGCCATTTTGTTTTCTTTATATTTGATATGCAATAACAATTGTTGTAGACTTGTAGTATGTATCAATGTATGTAACATTTTAACAAGTCTTACAATCAATTTCAAATTTTCTATAATGCTTTTGTGCCATATAAAAAAATAATTTGCAACTGTTTTTCCCAAGAAAAAAAATACTCAAATAAACAAGCATTCATCAAATTTGGACTTGCATGCATAGATCCCTTTATGATCCACCCCACATTGGCACATTAGACTTCAAAGGGAAAATAGAAAGCTTCAATTCTCATGAACCACAACTAGGAGCTTGTTCTAATTGACTGAACTCAGTTGAACTGAACAGCTGAACTGAAATGAATATTTTATAAGAGAAGGAAATTAGGAATTGAACTGAACTAAATTGAACTGAATTGAGCTGAACTGAACTGAACTGAGTTGAACTAAACTGAATTTCAACGTAAGAGAACAGGCTCTAGGATTCAATCGACAAGGCTACTTATCAATTTAGTACGGTTCACTAACAAAGTTGGCTCAAGTGGTAAGCAGTTGTTGCTTAAGTGAGGTATTGAGTTCGAACTTCACTCACTTAAAATACTCTTGATGAGAGACTCACCCATTATAAACCAAGGTGTACAATCCGAGTCAGATCCAAATGTAGTAAAATAATCGGGTGAGGCAAACTCAATTTAGAAGGGTTCAATTCTCACGAGTCACAAGTGAGGTAAGTTGACAAGACGGCTTATTAATTTGAAAAGGTTAAGCCTAGCTTGATCAATTATACCCCACACCATAATAATCTAAAATCCAATTACCCTTAAAAAGGAGGTAATTTGCAAGAAAAAAATAAATTAGAGAAAATGATAGAAAAAGGGTTAATTAACATTACAGTGCCAGAAATTAAACAGAATATTACAAGTAATTTCCTAGCACAATCACCCCAAAAAAAAAAACAAAAATATTATAATAACAATAATAACACAATTTTTTTTTATTTAATTAACATTAATAAAGCTAAACTTTTTTTTTTATTGAGACCTCATCTTATTAAGTTGGTTCAAAGCAGGCTGCAAAATATTGAAAAGCACCCAACCAATTGCAGGCAACACCACTAACAACAACAGTGTCCCTCTATTATCACTCCCAGCACTCTCACTTGCTGCTTGGGCCTCTGGTGTTGCCAACAAAAGCCCACTAAGCCCAAGCCCAAGCCCAACAATAACAGCCTTCTCATTCCTCATTTTGTTAATCTGATTCAAAGCAGGCTGCAATATGTTGAACAGGACCCACCCAATAGCTGGTACAATCGGCAGCAATAGGGCCAGCCCACGGTTGTCACTTCCCTCGGCGATGTCGGCTAGTTGTTGGGCCGCAAATGCTGGGTCCACTGAGCCCAATGTGGCGAAGATTGCTCCGGCGATTGCTGGGGCCGTGATTATTGGGCTTGGGCCGGTGGTGGGTAATTTTGGGAGAGAAATGGGCTTTGAAATGAGCTTTGTTGTAGATGATGGAATTGTTGACTTGTTGCTAAGAGTCAAGGATTTTGCATTGAGTGCTGCCATTGTAGTAGTTGCCATTGTAGCTGCCATTTTTTTTAGGGGTTTAGGAGAAAGAAAATGAAACACTAGTAATTTGATGAAGTTGAAAGAAAAAGGAAGGTGAGGAGTTTGTGAAGAGGAAATAAGGGATATAGGAGTGAAGTAAGGAAGAAGGAGAATGAACCAATAGAAATGGGGTTTCTAGATTCTTCTCTTATCTCTAAGATTGTGTTGGTTGAATTTTAGACCTCTTGTTTTATGACCCACCACTAGTTTCTTATCAACTTTGCTTCAAATATCAAGTTTTTCTTTGGTTCTATTTTTTCTCCCGTTTTCAAATGTTTTTTTTCTTCTTTACTTTTGTTGAGTCACATTTGGTTTTTTCTAAGCAAGTTGTCGACATCTAGAAGATTATGAATTAGTACCTGTTTACTTGAGTTTAATTTCATTTCAGCTCAGTTTAATTCAGTTCAATTCAATTCAATTCAATATAATTCCTAATTTCTTCATAAACAACTCAATTCAGTAAATTAAAACTAGTCTTTAGTACTGTGATATTTTAAAAATAGTGATTTTTTGTTAAAAGTGTTTTAATGTGAGATATGTGTCTTAAAGTTTTAAAGATATAAAACTTTGAGCATATACCCCTTTGCCAATTTATGTGTAATTAAAGAATGATTATTATAAGAAGTTGGTAAATGAAAATAGTTAAGATAAAATAATTCCCTAAGTCATTAATTTTATTAGTTGTTGTAATGTAATAACTTAAGTATATGACTTTTTTCAAAGCAATGATTGATGATTTTTACTTTGATTGCTCTATCTAATCAGCTCATCTCATTCTTGAACACCGGGTAGTACTTCGCATAATTTGTGGTAATGCACTCTCATTGCATGTACAATTTTACATACTATATCTAGGGGTGAAAGTAATTCGGATTAAATCGAACCGAACTGCAAATCAAACCGAATTACTAATTTGATTTGGATTTTTTTTTTTATTCGAATCGGATCGGATTGGAAAAATTAAAAAAATTTAGATTACGAATTGGATACGGTTTGGGGTTTAAAAAACCGAAAACCGAATCACAAACCGAATTTTGGCCCAATACTTTAAGCCCATTTTCTTTTTCAAATTATCTAACCACTTTCCCGTTTCATATATAAGCTTTTTTTTAAAAAAATAAATAAATAAAAATAAATAAATAAACTAATTCTCAATTCTCCTTTTTCAATATCTTATTTCTTTTTCAAATTATCTAACCACTTTCCCCTTTCATATATAAGCTTTTTTTTAAAAAAAAAAAAAAAACTAATTCTCAATTCTCTTTTCTCAATGTCTTACTCCCTCACAAAGAATGTAGTTAACATGAAATGATTGTAGGAATTTTATGGGTGAAGTTCAAGTTTCGAGTTTGGATGTTAAAGAAGAAGAGAACAAATTTCGGTTTGGATTGGATTCTAATTTGAAAAACCGAATTAATTCGGTTTGGATTAGATTGGATCGAATCTTAATTCGGTTTGGATTCGGATTGAGATTTTCGAAACCAAATTAATTCAGATTGAATTTGGTTTTGGCTATAATCCAAACCGCAAACCGAACTTTCACCCCTAACTATATCCAAAATATTTATATGTTGTATATATAATATCCACAAATCAAATAAAGTTTCATACATCACACTATCCTTCAATTGCGGATTCAATTTGTACCATGTCCATGTGCATAAGAAATTTTGAGAATTTGTTTGTTTGTTTCATACTTTTTATGAGGCCATGAGGTAATTAAGGGGGCGTTTGGTTCGCAAACTGGTATTGGGTTGGAATCAGGAATGAAACCATTGTGGTATGGGTTTTTGTTTTGGGTGTTTTTGTCCCTTGGGAGAGTTACAACGCGAAGACTGATCCGCAGTGAGCTGTACTTGCAAAACAAACGGAGACACCGGTTGGATGGTGCTCCGCCTCCGACGCACAAGTCAGTAACTTGAAACAGAATAGAGAGAACGAAAATTTAGGTGGGTATCTGCTCGGATTCCAAGCTCAGGTCTTTCTCTGATGTAAGAGAATAAGGGTGTAATTAATGATTCAATGTCCCCCTCAAGGTGGGGAAATATCTCCCTATTTATAGGGTCGTTGGAAAATGCGCCCCTATCTAGGTCACTTGACCTAGATTTTAGTGGGCTGCGCCGTTTTACGGCGCTCCTAGGAGTTTGGGCCTATTGAAAGCTGCCAATTCAGAAACATATCTGAGGGCACCAAGTGTCAAGAGGATGTTGAGCCACATGAGCCATCCTGACCTTGACACGTGGCGACCTCTCATTGGTCCACGTGTCTAGGGTAAAAATACCCTAAACATTTGCCCCTCACAGGTCGCACGTGCATGTCACTTGGGGCCTGTGACACGTGTCCACCTTTCATAGGTGAACAGTAACGGGTAAAATTTTGAATTTCAAATCAAAATTTCCCCCCACTTTTACTTTCTATAAATAGAAAGTTACCCCCCTCCTTTTCACTCTTAACATTCATATTAACCTTTTAGAGAGAGAAAAAGAGAGATTTCTAGAGAGAGAATTTTCTCTGATCCCGCCTGCATAACAACAAGTTTCAAGCTTCCGAGTGCTAGAAGTTCATCACCCGGCTCACCGGCTGTAGCGGTTTTCAGATTTTCCAGAGTTAAAGCAAGGTAACCGCCTGTACCATTTTAGCTTTTCTCCCTTTCAATTTGCATACCGTTTTTCGCCTGTATACCCGGCTTTCTTAATAGAACATAAATGAGTTCCCAATCCACCCACTCGGCACTGCCTAGGACACTCAGCCGATCCCCAGGAACGGCTGAGTCTAGAACAGGGGGTGCCTCTTCTGGACTGTCGGAACCAATATGCTCATCTCCGAATTCCTCCCTCTCTGTGTCTGTGCAGGACACAATGGCCAGAACGAAACAAACGGCCAGGCGGTCTAAGAGCCGGCGCACCATGAGAGTGCCTGCCGATGAGGTTTTGCCGGAAGGGGATCCGAGGAATTTGGAGGAGAGCGGATCTGACGAGGAGGCTCCCTCTACCTCCGGGAGCTCGGGAGTAAGAGAGGTGGACGGCGAAGGAGCCGCCTCCTCAAATGAAGCCGGCGACGCTGAAGCCGGCCAGGGATCAAGAGCGGAATCCTCCGGCTCTAACCAAGGAGATTTTGCGGCTGACTATCAGCAGCCGCCCAAAGTTGCTGACCATCCCAACCCCAAAAGAACCCGGATGCTTCCGAGTAATATTGCCCTTCTTAATAGCGGGTTCAGGGCTTTTAAAGAGAAACATCCATTTGGAAAGGGTTGGGAAGTTATTGTCCCTCCGCCTGATGCTGTGATGGCCTGGGGGGATGACATTGACCATGCAGATGACTAATTCATCTTCTATGAGGCGGTAATAGAAGTCGGCCTCCAGTTCCCCCTCCACCCCGGGATTAGGAAAATCCTCAAGGGGTATGATCTGGGGGTTTGGCAGCTCACCCCTAATTCGTGGGTGAACATATTAAGTTACATTGCCGCCTGCGAGTTCCAAAACTTGAACCCCAGCTTCTCTGCCTTCGCTCATATGCACTACTTGAGCAAGGCTCCAGGCGGCCATGGGGCATGGTATACGCTGACTACCCTGCCCCAATATCTAATGACTTTGGACAAAGTGTCCAAGTGGTCCGGGTGGAAGGACAAGTTCTATTTGATTTCCTCTCCAACCCTAAGACACAACCGGACACTACGCCGGTACAACGCTGAGCCGGCTCTTCTTGGACGTAAATGCCCTCTCCCGGAACTATCTACTAAAGCCCGGGAGCAAATCATGAAGCCGGGATTTTTTGAGACAACAACTGAGCCCATGGGGGATGGGACTCACATCATAGTTCCCAAGAAATGGATCCCCCATCCGGACTTCTTCAAAGATGAGTGCTTCTTGTCCGCCTGCGGACTGAGTACGATGTTTTCCAGGGGTAGAATACTTCTCATCCGGAATGATTGTCATTTTATTTTTATTGCAAACTTGCCTTAATTCTTTCTAACTTGACATTCTTGTTTTTGCAGAAGAAGCCCTGAGGATGGTTGACCAGGATAAGACTCCTGCTAAATCTGCGGCGCTACTGCGCAAGGAGGCGACCCTTGTCAAAAAGGCAGCCGTCAAGGCTACGAAGAAAGGCAGGGTAAGACCGCCTGACTTTATGTTTGCATTTTTTTTTAAACATACCGGTTGGGTATACTTATATTTTGCTTCTTTCTCAGGAGTCCGCCAAGAGAATCCCTCGATTCTCCAAGCTTCTCAAGAGGCAGGGAGATGATCTGGAGAAGGCTCCGGCTGCCAAAGCCGCAAGGAAAGATCCCCCCCAGAAGCAAAGTTCTGCCCAATCTGGTCGTCCAACAACTGGGGGCAAATCCCCTGCTGTTCTGAAGAAACCGAGTGAAAGCTCAGAACAGCAGAAAGCGCCGGAGGCCTCTACGGCTTCGAAGGGTGGCGAGCCACCTAAGGTTGCAGGCGGTGCGGCAACCGCTGGGGGTGAGGACAAGCCGGAGACCCATCCGGAAGTTCACGGTAAGAAACAAATTGAAATACCTTGGCCACTTAATTTTATGAGAATTAAGACTAAGGTTGATTCTTCAAAAGGGTCAGCCAGCAGCCGGCAACGGATGAATGCCAGTTACGCTGCTTCTATCTCACAAAGACCTACTTTTGATGCAGATCTGCTTCCTAACCCGTCGGATCTCTTCGGCTTCGCGAAGCGGATGGTGAGGACCCTCACCCGATCTGAGAAGGCCTCCATACCTGATCTGCAGGTCGTGGACTTTGACCGGATAATGGGCTCTCTGGCTGAGGTACATGATTCCTCTACCTTGATGTCTTTAATCTTTATTATGACTAAGTAACTCATAAACCGGCTGTTATTGATTCATGCCATGGTGAGAGTGGACAGTCTCCGGGGCCCCTTTAGGCGGAAACAGGAAGAGGTAAATGACGCCAAACGGAGGGCCCTAGAAAACCTCAACTTTGCTGAACATTCTGATTATATGTGTAATTTAAAGATTAAAGCAGTAGAGTTGAAACAGGAGGAGCTGATCCGAAGTTTAACGGCTGCAAACGATGAAGCTAACAGCCGGGTTAATGACCTTGACAAGCAGCTGAAGGATGCCAAGTCTGATCTCAAGGC